CCCAATAGCAGTCAAGATTTGGGTGTGTCTTGCTTGAGGCCACCCCTTTTTTGGTGGCTTTTGAGGGAAGAGGAAAGCCACAAGCTGCGCCGCGGGACTCCCAAACCCAAACTCCACCGCGCCATTGAAACCCGAAGCCATCGCCCAACGCGAATTCATCACGCGTTGGGCGCACTCACGTCAACAATGGAACCACCAGACCGCGCATGAGTAGAGTTAGGCCCAGTTATCGAATGTATATATTATTGTTTGCTTCACATGGAGTCACTGGTAAAATGTAAAATGTATCCTAAGTCTACCCCAGCGCAGATTGCGGTCTGGGCAACCATAGAACAACCAATTTGGGGATCAAATTATTGATCCACAAACAAATGAGTACGTCGTTGAGTCGTTGGTGACCAATAGGAACTGAGGATTCATCAACCCCTTTTTGATTAATCAGGTCCTCATCGGTGCATGAAGAGGGGAGCCTTTACTTTCTGGGGAACCCCATTTCTTCCTCCATCATGTATTTTTCTTCTTTATGGGTCGCCAGAAAGAAGAGGTTCACCTTCTGGGAGCCTGAGCTCTAAATGGACGAGAAAGGAGAAACGAAGAGGCGAAAAGGTAAGCCCCGGTTTTTTCCCGTCGAGTTCCTGGCGCTACCCTCGCGCCAAACCACGACTTGGCTCACGGCTCGAGAGCCGAGAACAGCTGAAAGCCACGGGATCTCTCACCGGTTCCGGGTTCCGGAAAGGACTCCAGGGCTGGGGAGGAGCTGGCAGTTGGTCAAAGGGACTGGGACTAAAAGGTGATCACCGTTTAAAAGGTTTAAAAGCCAAAAGGTCAAAAGGTTTAAAAGGTTTAAAAGGTTTAAAAGCCACGAAATATGGGGCCAAAACAGGAAAACCAAAAGGTCAAAAGGTCGATTCGCTTTGGGCAACTGAGCCTGTCTGCTTTTGCGGACAAGAAGCTGAACGATAAAATGCATACGGGAACATACGCCAAGAATCTACGCCAAGCTTCCATGAGTGGACAAATGACAAAAAGCGCTTTGCGAGACCTTCTGGGCTTTCGCAACCTGGGGTAAGGGTTTTAATTGAAAAGGATGCAGTGGATGAACAGTGGATGGACTAAATCCTGCGTCAGTTTCCAGGTGACTTTTCCCCAACAATTGTAGAATTAGAACGCCGCACACTTTCCTTTGCAGTTCCCAGTGACTTTCCAGCGACGTTCCTTTGACTTCCCTGTCCAGTGACTTTCCTTTGCACGGGTTTAGAACGCCGTACAAGTTGGCAGCCCCGGGTTCAGACGGCTGTTCAAGTTCCAGAATGATACCAACCAGGCTTAGGATTCCCCTGTAGTCTATACATCAGCCACTTTTGTAGGTATACTCTGATATAAGGCACCTTGATTTATCCAACGTATAGATTTGCCAATTTTCCTCAGTCAAAGCGTACATTTTGGCCAAATTCCGAGCTGCTTTCTGGGAATGCATGGGTGAGTTTCTTTTGGTGCATCCTTCTACTACTGTGGAGGGACGAAATCCTGCACCAACCACCTAGAAACCCTGGAATGATGATTCCTCTCTAAATACCAACAAACAATGGTTTCCCATGGAATCAAAGTGGTGCGAAGTGGATTTCGTCCATCCACAGTAGGACCCTCTTTGCCCTAACCTCCCTCGGCTCTGAGTCCTCCTTTGGCTCTTGCGACTGTCCATTGAAACGGATGGTGAGATCCTCTACCGAGTTCTCCTGTCGGCAAAAGGTCCTCAGCCGGAACCGCGCAACGCGAACCGCGCTCGACCAAACGCGATCGCGACCACACGCGCGAAAAGCGCTACACACCGTGCAAGATCCATCCCTTAGAACGCGGTGTCCTTCAGCTGTGGCCGAGCGAGCCCATGCTCTTCCATTTGGTTAAGGCCCCAGGAAAGAAAATATCTGCAGCAGAGTGATGAATTCCTTTTAACACCAACAAGGGAAAAACAGTCTTAAGCAAATGGAGGTGCTTGATTCTGGACCATGCACCCGAGAACTTGCGAATACAAAAGACATCCCAGAGCCAAAAGCAGCCTTGGATCCTGACTCGCACTGCTTCAGCCACCAGCATGGCGCCTTGAAGGTCCTTTTTTCCACATTCTTGCTCTTTGGATCCGGAAGTGGAAACAATGGACGGGTCGCTTTCAAACCGCCCTTTGTGACTTGACCCACCTGTGGCTTGATGGGGTCCTTGTCTTGACATGGGATCCGGATTCCGGATCAACCTATAGGGAAGCCGTCAAAGGTCCAAGCTGCAAGGATTCCAACAATCTGAGGGGTATTGTATTACAACTTGGGATTACACCCTTTGGACATGACCCAGAATGCGTCAATATAACACGGTTTTATCCGGAATGTGCCCAAAATGGGGTCAATACCCAGTGGGTGTATTCCCAGGGTGCAATACCGATCCACTGCTAGTCATGGCCCCAAAAAGGTTTACATTTGATTTCCGGGTCCCTAAGGGGCAACTGAGTGTGGGTTCTTCGCCCGTTCGACCCGTTCGGGCGGTCTGAAGAGAAGTCAGCGTGACTCGATTCCCAAAGCACACCAAGCACATACGCAAGCCAATACAAAACAACCACGCGTGCAGGCAAAGAAACACTTGAAGCAAGCAAGTAAGCGAGGGAGCAAGCAAACAAGCAAACAAGCAAGCAAAGCCAAGCCAAGCCAAGTCAAGCCAAGCCAAGCCAGCCAGCCAGCAAGAAAAACAAAGGAAGCAATCAGGCAAGCATACAAACACACACACACACACATGCAATGGAAGAAACAAACAAGCCAGCCAGTCAGCTGATCCCAAGCAAAGAAAGTACAGCAAAGCAACGCAAACAAGCCAACCAAACCAACCACACCAACCAACCAACCGACAAACGATGAAACCAACAGACGGACAAACGACAACCAAATGAACGCGACCAAGCCCAGCCAAGGCTCACATCCACGTGTTGTGCGTCACCCTTTGCCAAGCAGTCACAGAGCCAGCTGGGTTTCCCGGAGGACGTTGGCCTGGAAACCGTCGGACGTAAATTTTGCGCTTCACTTTGACTGACATTGATCCAAACCACTCACATCACTCACTCCGGCAAGCGGATTGGATGCGCGTTCGGTGGGCGCACCCAAGTTTTTCTCAGCTGCCCACAGGACCCAGCAATAAAATGTTAACTTTTGGGGCCATGACTAAATATGGACCAAAATAGGAAAACCAAAAGGTCAAATGCTCGGCTTTAAACAACTGAGTCTTCTTTTTTGTTAAAAACAAAAACACACAGTTTATCAGCTGTTCCTCTTTTTCTACTCTTTTGGTACTCTTCTCCTACCAGGGGTGGATCCACAACCGCATCCGAGCCGCTTCTCGAGTATCCATACTTTTGACGTTCCCCAAAAAGTTTAAAACCCACGATACTGGGGAAGTGAGATGACAAGTGAACATAGGGTTTGCGAGACATAACCGTGTTCCTCTGGGTACACGTACATAGGGTGTGGTATTTGGAGGGTATCCTGTTGGCTGGCACAAGATTGGAAACCAAAAAGGGACACTACCTAATTTGGTAATTTGAGGTCCAATTCACTCGGCTCGGAGCAACGCGGTTATCTAATTAGGCGTGCTTTTTGGACGAAATCCATTACGCACCACTTTGGCACCGTGGTGTTTACAGGGGAATCATCAGAAACCAGGGTTTCTCGAATGGGTGGTGCAGGATGTCGTCCATCCCACAGTATGGTTTCTTGACCCCCCCAACAAAAAAAATGGAGTGCGGTTTCCCTTCTCCCTTGAACACAACACAAATGGTACCCTCAAAGACTCACCCAGAACGTTCTGGATATCGCGCTGCGCACACCTGGGAAACCACACGATCCAGGCAGACTGCATGGGCAAGCCTCCCCTCGCAGCCATTGGTTTTGAGTCGCTGCGACGGGCTCTATTCATGGGCGACTTTGAGAGGCCCAATAGGTCAGAATTCGTCTGTCAGCTTATCCTGGGGGGGGGGGGACTGTGCGAGGAAGAGGGGGCATAGGGGCAGAGTACTGTGATAGGCAACCGGCAACTTTCCTATTGCTGCTTCCGAAACCTTTCGGCCGAATCCTCATGGTGAGCTCTGCCCCCCCGCCCTTGTAAAGTAGGCAACCCCAGGAACCAGCCGAGAAAGCAACATGCAGGTGTGACCCCCCCAAAAAAAAACAGTGGTTTTCCTTTTAGTTTCCCTTTAAACCAAAAAAAACGGGCACCCCAAGAAAAGGCACACTCATGGAACACGGGGAAGGGCTACCTGCCACAAACTGGTTCTGGTTCATTCCAGAACTCATGGTAGCTCCGAAAGGTTCTGAGTCTAAGCAAATTTGTTGGATATCCCAGCTCCGCAACAACGCTTTTGAGCCAACCGCCAAACAGTGGTGCTGGGGTCAACTGCGGACCCTGTTGGTTTTCTTTTTTGGAAGATTCACGTCTTGTTTGCTTAAATTCAGAGCCATGTCCACCACCCACTATTGAGGAGGTTCCGTAAGGCAATGGGAATGTTGCTCGGACAGCATAAGACCTCGCCGTACCACCAATTCAATCCTCAAACCTGTCCGGTGAGGTCTGGGTCCTCCAGTAGAGAGGTTGAACAAGGGTACCCACTTTTTTCTGTAGTCTATTTTAGCAGGGGAACCCTCCCAACCAAAAAAGAAACGGCTTTCAAAGGGCACCAATCGCTGGGGGACCTATGGTTCCAACTCTTTCAAGCCCACTGGCAACTCCGGCCTGGAGCTCTCGCGTCTCGCTCTCTTGGCGGGATCTTCGAAGAGGTGCGCCTGCGAGTTCCGGAAAACCGAACAACGATCCGCTGCTGAGGCTTGGATTTCGGTTTGCCCCGGTGCCAGTGACCAGTCTAGGGCTACCTTCCATTTCCATGTCCAATCCGAATCTTTTCAGGCAACCATCCAAAAAAAGAGGGAAACAGATCAGGTGATTGAAAAGAACGATGCTTGAGAATAATGGGGAATCAACCCTTAGCAGTATAGACAAACTTGGATCTTCGTTGCCAACTGACTAGATTTGAAGCTTGGTGTATTTGATATATGGCTTGATAGAATCTTTGCTTAGCGATATTTTGCTCCGTAGTTGTATTTGCGATATTCTTGCAAAAGTACGCGGTCAACATATATAATATGTATATATACATACACATATATATATATATGTCTATCCATGGCGACATCTGCATCATATAGACGATAGCATTCAACACCAGTTTGCTTTACCCAATGCTTTAAGCTTGTAGGATTTTTGCTGCAAAGAGGCATATGATACATTCAACTAATGGTGGTAGAATCTTCGTAGTAGGATCTGTTCACTCTGTTCTTGCGTCAAATAAACTGACACCACAATCTCAGTTGCCCAAAGGACCTGCATCAAAAAAAGTTAACCTTGAGTGACTAAATATAGCTGTGGCTCAAATAAATGTACCAAAAAGGGCTTTTTGGTAAATGGAACCAAAGACTAAAACCTGCGGTTTGCCCCAGCTCCTTAATTTTGAGCCACAGCCATATGGACCATGGGAAAACCAAAAGGTGAAAAGCTTGATTTGATTCGAAGAACTCAGCCATTCCCAGTCTAGGTCCTCCAGATTAGAGAGGTTAGAATAAGGGTACCAACTTTTTTCTGTAGTCTATTTTAGCAACAAAAAACCTTAGTAGCCAAAGAAGACACGGGAAAAAAGGGCACCAATCGCTGGACCTAGACCCACAGAAACCCGGTGTTGGCCTCAGTTTGGCGAAGCAAAAGGCTATGAAGCCCTGGGTTACTAAACCCTTCCTGGCTTATTCCCGGTGGAAATTCCCAGTGGAAATTCCCACCAATCTGCGGTCCGAAGCGAACGTCCCGCGCGAACGTCCCAGGTGAATCCGGTGCCTGTAGCCTCGGGGGCGAGGCCGTGTAGTAGCCCGGGAAGCCGAAGAAGTGGATCGCCGGGACCGCCAGAAACGCGGCGTCCCCGAAGAGGTTGGAGTTGTGCTCCATGTTCCTCGGGAGAACGTTTTCGATCTTTGGGGCTTCATTCTTGGGAATTTTGGGTGTGGTAAGGTGCGGAAAATTCGATGTGTTGGGCTTCTGACTTGGATTTTTGGGTGTAACCGAGGCTTAAGCCTCCCCCCCAAGATGGCGGTCTTCGGTTTTCCTTTTGGCTCCCCTTTGAACCATCAAAACAATCCACAAAAAAGGTACACCGAGAAGACCCGTTTTTGGTGGGCAAAGGCTTGGTTTCCGTGTGCGGTCGTGAAATCAAGCATAGTGGAGCGGGTTTGCTTGCCTGAGGCTTGAAAATTGCGTGGGTAATCCCCGAGATGGGCTAGGGGCTGGTGTTCGGGTGGGGGTTAGTTCCGTGAGGGCAAAGGCTTGGTAGAATTTCGTGTTTTTTCTGCATTTGTGAGCTACAAGGCTTGGTGAGGTAGGGTTTGGGGTCCCCAACTACAGTTTCTCGGATCACGAAAGAGGACAGGGTGCTTCCAACTCCTGTCGGCTTCCATGATTGTTGGCGGGTGGGTAACCATTGTTTCTTCCACAAGGAAATCAGTCACAGCTTTTGCTGCAAGTGGTTGGGCGAGGCTTGATTTAAAAGTGTCAGGGTGGGGGTTGGTTGGCAGCTTCATTTTTCCAGTTCCTTTGAACCCCAATCAACAGTTCGCCAAATTTTATGCAAGAGACAAAGAGGGAATGGAACTGTACATGTTCGTGATTCAATATGAAAGATCCAGGTTCAGCAGGGCTCTTTGGTTCCATTTGCCAAGGTGCCATTTTGATACATATATATATATATATATATATATATATGGTCACCCCCCCCTGCATGACCTACCGTTGCCTTTCAAAAAGTCGTTGGGGACCATTAGCAGACAATAAAAAAGTGAAAAAAAACACCTGTTGTTTATGGTGTTCGATTAAAAAACAACACAGTCAACCATTGGAAAAATAAGAAAAACCAGTGTGTTTTGATGGTTTTAGCAAAAAATGTGCAAAAACCCATGTTTTGTTTTTAGAAAAAACCGTAAAGCATTCAAAAAAACAAGTGTAAAAACTGATATGTTTTTCAGATAGATCCCTAAGTCAAAAACTAAGAATTCCCTGGGTTTTTGATGGTTTTGCAGTAAAACCTTCAGAATTCCTTGGTTTTTTAGCATTTTTCACATAAAACCAAGAAAACCTCGAGAAAACCAAGAATCCAAGAATCCAAGATTTTCAGGTAGATGTTTGGTCCACTACAAAATCTTGGATTCTTGGTTTTCTCGAGGTTTTCTTGGTTTTCTTGGTTTTACTTGGGAATTCTTGGATTTCCAGCAAAAAACCAAGAATTACTAGGGTTTTTTTGGATTTCCAGCAAAAAACCAAGATTTACTAGGGTTTGTTTGGATTTCCAGCAAGAATTACTAGGGATTTCCAGCAAAAAACCAAGATTTACTAGGGTTTGTTTGGATTTCCAGCAAAAAACCAAGAATTACTAGGGTTTTTTTGGATTTCCAGCAAAAAACCAAGATTTACTAAGGTTTTTTTGGATTTCCAGCAAAAAAAACCAAGAATTCCCAAGTAAAACAAGGAAAACCAAAAAAACCTCGAGAAAACCAAGAATCCAAGATTTTGTCGTGGGCCAGACATCTACATGAAAATCTTGGATTCTTGGATTCTTGGTTTTCTCGAGGTTTTCTTGGTTTTCTTGATTTTACTTGGGAATTCTTGGATTTCCAGCAAAAAACCAAGAATTACTAGGGTTTTTTGGATTTCCAGCAAAAAACCAAGATTTACTAGGGTTTGTTTGGATTTCCAGCAAAAAACCAAGAATTACTAGGTTTTTTTTTGGATTTCCAGCAAAAAACCAAGATTTACTAGGGTTTGTTTGGATTTCCAGCAAAAAACCAAGAATTACTAGGGTTTTTTTGGATTTCCAGCAAAAAACCAAGATTTACTAGGGTTTTTTTGGATTTCCAGCAAAAAACCAAGAATTCCCAAGTAAAACAAGGAAAACCAAGAAAACCTCGAGAAAACCAAGAATCCAAGATTTTGTCGTGGGCCAGACATCTAACACAACAGAAATACCAGCACCAACTGAAGACGAAGAAGAAGAACCACAAAAAGATAATTTTGAAAAATTGAAATCTTAATAATAGCATATATAATGGGTATTGGTAAAAGTAAAAATAATGAAAATAATAGTTTGGAAGACATTAAGAATTTAAGTATAGATGAAAAAACACGAGCAGACACTTTAATTATTAAATCTCTTCAAGAATGTGTGACACGAATTGAGAAACTAGAGAAAGAAAAATCTGACAAATTAATATATAAACTTCCTGCCTTACAATTTTGCAATGCTTCGTTAATTTAAATTAATAATATTAACATATAATAATATTATTGATTGCTATCATAATCTGTCATTTTATCCTCTGGTATTGTTGTTGAAGTAGTACTACTTATATCATCTATTAAATCTTCTTCATCAACAAAATTATTTTGACATCTTAATAATTCCTCGTCTGTTGCCCTTCTTTTCAATACTTTATAAAGTTTATGTATCCAAGAATTAGTATGAAAATTACAATTACCTCTACGATAAAATCCACCACATCTACATAGTTTCATTGGCATATTACTATATTATATTAAACTAGAATATCTTTATTCATCATTCGTAATTTGAAATGCCTGTTCAAATCTGATATGACACATTTTGTTAATGTCTTTAGCATTCATATTCACGTAGAAGAAACTATAAGGTGCGTCATTAACGGCTTGATGATACATATCTAATAATTGCTGTTTATCAACAATGGCGCTATTTTCTTCAATAAAACTCATTAACTCACTTGCATTTTTCAACCTAATGAACTGGCATTTAAACGAATGATAGGCACTAAAACATTATATTTTGTGTTGAACAAATTACACTTACTGCATCGTGCCTGCCTCTTGTAAAAAGTCCGTGTAATAATTTACTATATCTAACAAATTTAGGATCGTCTGCGTGGTCATCTACAACGATGAATATTGAATGCGTGGTCATCTATAACGATTAATATTGAATGTAGTTTCTTTATCTTTTTAGACTTCATATAATTAATTTTCTTCTGTCTTTCAATTACAGTTTCTAAATCACTTGGATTATAATTATCAAAATAAATTTGTTCTTTTTCATCATCCACGTGCAATTCATCCCTGATGTATTTTTTAACTTCTGTAAAAGTTGGGTCATTATGAACGCTGGGGGAAAATATAAATATTCTTGCAAATGAATTTCTATAAACATTCAAGATAAGGTTTTGGACTAAAACTGTTTTGCCTCCCGTCGATGAAGCAACTATAATACTTCTAAATGGTAATTTTAGCACGTGCTCATATTTGGATTGTTTGAATTCATATTCAGTTATGTTTATTGGTTTTATTATTGGGACATCTGTCATAGTTGATATTAAAGAAATATAGAAAATTATATTTAACAAAAACTTGTCATTCATATTAAATGGAACATCATTATGTTATGAGTGGCGGTGAATAACATAATGGAACAGGTTTTCCATTGCTTCAATCAATAAGCATTGAAGATAATTAGTTTTGTGTTTTGCTCGCGTGTGCAATGAAAACCAAGTGCTGTGCCCCACCAATAGCGATGAAGGGAGGGGCAAATGATAGATGAGATCCTGCTTTTTTTAGCTAAAAGGTAGGTCATGCAGGGGGGGTGAGCATATATATATATATATGTAGATATGTATATATATATATATAAATACGTGTATATATATATATATATAAGTATCTTTGCTCAAGCCACAACCAAGCGGAGTGAGTTGAGCAGTTCTGGTTCGATTTCCTCGGGAATCCCCAAGTTTCATTCCCCGGCCAACTGATTCCCAACTGAACCGGGGGAGCCAAGGGAAATCGCGAACCTATGTTTCTGCAAAACATGCTGTGGATGGACGAAATCCACTTCGCACCACCGTTCAGAAACCCTGGAATTGCGATTCCCCAACGTAAATACCAACAAACAATGGTTTCAACCATGGGTTCAAAGTGGTGCGAAATGGATTTCGCAACCATCCACAGTATTATACCAAACGCTGAAGAATTTCGGGATCCCCAAGCAAAGGTGAGCTCGCTAGAATCATAATGCCGGGGTGCTTGCATTACATGCCCCTTTTACATACCCCAAAGGGCAAATGAACCCAACGGGCCTGCTGATGTTCATACCCCGCTCCCCCCAAAAAAGGGGTATATACCCCTCATAAAGTGGGTACGTCTACCCTAGGATAGAAAATAGGCAAATGTTTCCACCTTTCCACCTGGGAGACATGTAACTTTACGTGGGCTTCCTCGAGGTAGTTTCCAGGACTGACATGCTCCCTATTTGGGCTACTCGATATCACTGTGCCAACAAACGGGCCTAACTTTTTGAGACCCCTTTCTTGGTGGTTTTAAAGGGAAATCAACAGAAAACCCGAAGCCATCTTGGTTGGTCCCCTACAAAACAGCACACCCAAATAGGTTGAAGGCAATGATGTGCTATTTTCGTGTTCCTGGGTTCACGTTGGTACCTTGGCTGCAACGTTCGACTTTTAGGGCTTCCCAAGTTGAAGTTGCCGTGAAGGAGCTTGTTGGACCCTCTTCAAAGTTCTATCCGCACCTTCCCTGACTCCGTTCAGGGATCCTTACTTTCCGGAAAATGCAACACAACAAAGGGAAGTATGTGGTTTCTGAACTGAAGTACGGGTAAACAGAATGGGGAACAAAAACCTGAGAAAAGCAGCTTTCTTCATGAATAAAATGCACACTTGGTCTTTAAGGATCCCCTTTCGCTGGGTGTTTCATGGGACCATGCTTGGGGGACGCCTATTTGAAGAATACCCCCTTCTCTTCTCCCCCCAAAAGTGTCATGTTACCCGGAATCTACTTCTTGGTGCATCCCTTTTTGGTTTCCATGTCAATTTGCAACCGAGCAGGGCCGATCCTCAAAGCCATCCACAGTTGCAATTCAAAGCCACCCCCCAAAAGTGACTGAAGGCTATAGTCCTAGGGATACCTCGAATGCATACATCATAGTGAGCTCTGTTTCCCCTAAATCGGTGAGCTCTTTTTACCCATCAAACAAGCACCGGTTCCTTTCAAGAGGCCGACTGCTAAAGCGGTTTGCGAAGTCAAAAACTTGAAGGGACCGCAGAGGACCGCTGGTCCCAAAATGCTCACCGTGTCTGTGTGTCTGTGTCTCTGTGTGTCTGTGTGTCTGAATTAAAAAGGGGACTCCCGTAAAATGGTATCCTTCCTGTTGGTTTCCCTTTCAACCACCCCAAAAGGGTACGCACAACACCTGCACAAGTGTCAAAGGTTTTACCACCACCCCCCTGGAAGAATGGCACAAACCAAGGATAAGCCAAAAAAAAATGTCCGGCTTTTCAGGGGTAAAGCTCTATCTATCTATCTATCTATCTGTCTGTCTATCTATCTATCTATCTTATCTATCCTATCTTATCTTATCTTATCTTATCTCATCTCATCTTATCTTATCTATAGAGCTATGTATGCCTCTGTCAAAGGGGTAAAACTCTAAACGCACGGCTCGATGTCATATTTCCGTGGGGCGTTGGGTGGCCCGTGTTGTTGGAGGCTCGGCACCCTTTTGCTTGGTTTCATAAATAACCAAAAAACAAAAACACCACCATCTTTTGAGTCCCGGTCTTTTGACACCCCACACACACCCAAAGGTTGGTGCCCCGAATTTTGACACTCATACAACCCCGCCCCCCAATCCGTTCTCCCTTACTTGGTGGGGTGGATTGGTGAAGCCGTGGGTCTTGTGGAGGCTAGCGGGAAACCTCCCCTTAATCTGCAAACCACCAATCCAGACCAATCAGCGGGAAGTTGACCGTGAAACCCCAGAACTTGATTGGGCCCATGAACCCCAGAAGTTGACCGTGAAACCAACAACGGGAAGTGACCCTGAAACCCCGGAACTGAGCGATCCCCGGTCCGTTTCCCCCCCCCCCCTCGTTTTCGCGCTGGCTGGTTCGGCGAGGGCGCGGGGGAGTGACCAGCAGCTTCCGGGCACGGCAGCGCTTGAAGAGCCGCAGGGAGTGCTCCGCGGGGATCAAGCTGTCCGCCTGGAAATTGGGAGGTGGTGGCATTCATGTAAGGGTGGTGGGGGTGGGAGTGGGGGGGTTGGGTGGGGAGGGGTGCCTGGAAATTGGGAGGTGGCACTGATCTAGGGGTGGTGGGGTTGGGGGGGGGGGTGGGGGTGGGGGTGGGGTGCGTGGCCTGGAAATTGGGTCTGGTTGCGTTCATCTAGGGGGGGGTGGGGGTGGGGGTGGGGTCGGGTGTGGTGGGGTGGGTGGGGAAATTCATCGATTTTCCGCAAAAGGGCACCTAATAGAGGGGGATGGGTCAATGTGGAGCGAGACATGTTTTGACTGCTTGGATGTTTGTTGCCAATGTAAGGGAAGTAGGTGATCTCACCATGGCAAGAAAACAATCAACCCAGGAACCCAAGGTAGAATCCATGCTGAGCTCACCTACTTACATGACATTGGTTGATCCAGGTAGCGTGGTTGAAATGATCAGGTAGTTCCGTACTGTGGATGGACAAATTCCAATTCGCACCAGTTGGGATCTAACTCTGGGGTTAATAAATCATCTACCAACTCAATGGACCCCCCAAAAACGGATTCTTAGTGGTTTTCCGAAACAAGCCCAAGGGTACCCTCAAAAAAGAGGCAGAGCCATAGAATTGGTACCCTGTTTTGGAGTGATTGAAAGGGACACCTGCTGGACAACCCTGTTTGGGAACTCCCGTATTAAGACCCCCTCCATATTTTGTCTACCCCAACGCTTCCAGTTGCCACTACCAGTAGGCCAAGTTTGGGCACCCAGGATTGGGTCGGCCCCACGAAAAAAGCTTTGGACGTCAGGCTTCGTTGCCAAGCATGCTTAAACATGCTTGAACCACAGCGTAAGCAACCTGTTTTGAGTAACTCTTTCAAGGACCGGGTCTGATTGTTAAAAAAACGTGCTAAAACCTTGAATAAACCACAGTGGAAGTCTCATCCGTAGACCCCATTGTTGTCGCAAGCCCCCTGTATTTCGCCTTTCGACATCAGCCCACCAAAAGAAGTCTTACGAAACGGGGGTATATGGGGTTGTCTCAAAATCGGGGACCCTCCAAAATGGCTTGGTCTCCTGTCTCCTCCTTTTTGGGGTACCCTAACACTCACTTCTTGAGTGGATTGGCCAAAACAATATGGACTTTGTATTTACCACCAAAATGGTGCAAACCCGAAAAGTGAAAGTCCAGGAACTCAGAAAATTAAGAAAAAGAGAAACAGGAAGCAACAAAAAGCTGAGCAAACGTCCAGCTTTCCATTCGCACCTCCCCGTGGATGAACAGCGTGGAGCACGACACGTTGGCGATGATCCGGCTGTTGGGAAAGCCTCGCTGGCACAGTTGGGTCCTTCCTTTTTTACCCTCCCAACCAACCAACCAACCAACCAACCAAAACCAACCAACCAAAACCAACCAAAACCAACCAAAACCAACCAACCAACCAACCAAAACCAACCAACACCAACCAAAACCAACCAACCAACCCCATTTTCCTTTGAAAGGGACCCCCTGTCAGGGTCCCAGCCTTTTTTCACGTTCTGGCTTGGACCATTTTCCTTTGAAAGGGACCAAGCCCCTGTCAGGCTCCATGTGAAAAGGGTGGTGTTTTGCAGATGGAGCCTCCCGTTTCGGGAGGTCCGAACGTCAGGTTCCATGCCAAGGCTGGGAGGTCGATGTTTGCTGGGCCCAAACCACACCACCCCGAAAAAAGCTGGGGGTATACACCCTTTCTGTGGCTACATAGTGGCTGTATATCCCATTCAACCCCAAACAAACCGTGGTTTTCTTTTTGGTTCCTGAAGCATAAAACAACGAAAAGGGGTACCCTCGACCAAAAAGCATACCCAGTTGGGTGTCTTTTTTGCGGAACCGTTGTGAAGTGGTGATAAAAGGAACGCCAAAAGGACACTATTCTTGGGGGGTTCTCCATTGAAAGATACACCAACATATTGTCCCTTTTCAGGCAAAAACCAAACGCAATACCACCGTTTGTAGGGTTCCCTTATGTTGACACATACCCGTTGGTTGCTGTTTCTTTTGCGATGTTTGTTTGCCTTTGCCTTTGGGTTGGTTTTGTCTTGTCTTGACTTGCCTGTTTGTTAGTTCGGTTTTGCTTGCTTATTTTTACGGAGGACCTGAGACGTCTGTTTGAGGTTTCACCCGTATCTTTTGGCACAGAAATGGAAGGCACATCTGACTTGGTTGCTGTTGACCCCTCCGCAAAAAGCTTAACTTGTTGTGCGTTCAAGCAAAAACCCTTCATTTTTCGAAAAATCAAAGTCTGATCCAACCCCAAACCAATCAAGTTGAATAGCAGCAACTGCTTGCTGCACGGGTGCCACCCACGTGCAAAAGGAAACAACAAGGATCCTTCTCGGTGGGTTTCCTCGAATCCGGTCCCCGTGTCCACAAAAAGCCTTCGGAGAACGCTCGGATGGAAAAAATGCACACCTCTAGGCTCCGTCTCAAAGGTCAAGAGAGCCAACCAAACCAAAACAAAATACCAGCCCGGGAAAGCAAGCACATGAAACACCCCATCCCCGTTCTGGATTCTTATGACAAACATAAACCTACGGTGTCCTCGGCTCGACCAAGGGTATGGCAAAAGTGCAACATATGTGCCATGATGAAAACTCTGGTTCTCTGGCCGATTGGGTCATGGCTCCCTTGGAAATCATCACAATGGTTAGGGATGCTGACTTCCACGTGGATGCCTGTTAACCCCAGTAAAGGAACCGGTCTTTTGACCACATGTAAATGCCTGACAACTTGACCGCCAGAAACTGATAGGGGACCATGACCGTTGCTCATTGGTAAACCTTTGAAAACAACCCTAACACAAGTACCGAAACAGATCCATAAATTCTGTGGCCGCAAACTAAAACAAAAAAGAAGAAGAAACACAAAAAACACAAACACACAAAACCAAAACACCAACCAGTGGGGTCTGTACACATCCAAAATAAAAACACCAACCAGTGGTTTCCTTTTTTTCTTTTTCTTTTCACGCCCACGTGTGGGTTTTTTGTTGCTTTCTTTTGTGTTATGTCGTGTGGTTTCTTGGTTAATTGTTTGTTTGTTTTTGTAAGTTTGTTGGCCGTTTTTTGGTCGTGCTCTTCATATTATTTGTCTGTTTTGTTTCGTTTTCTTCGGCTGTTCTTCGCTTTTTTGTTCTTTCTTTTTTCCGGGCCACCTGTGTGTTTCCTTTTTTGGCTTCAGTTTCCTTTTCCCGTCTTGGTCGCCTTTTTGTTGTGTGCTTTCTATTTATTGGCCGTGTTTTGTCGCGCGTTTTTTCTCCCCCCAGGTTTGGCCGCGTCTTCTTTTTTTCGCTTCCCCGCGGCCACGGGGCGCTCGGTGAAGGTCCAGGCCACGGCGCGGCCGATGATGCTCTGCACCGCCGCCTTGATGGAGCTGAAGGCCGAGACCAGGATCAGACCTGACCGCGGCTTCGTCCCGTTCCGGGCGTTCGCTTCGCTTCGGTTCGGAGTCGTTTTTTTTGTTATATGTTTTTTAAAGGTCTAACTCGTTTTGATGAGTGTCGTTTGTTCTTGATTTTATTAAAGTACCATTTAGATTAAGTTTTTCTTAGACTAGGATGAACCCAGGGAGTGAGGGGGTACTTGAACGGAATCTGAACGGAGGGAACCTGGCGTCTTCAGAGGAAAACAATGGACAAGGTTTTTTGTTGCACTTAGGGAGTGGGGCTTGTTCTCGGAAGGCTTGATAATTCACCACAATTCGCGTAAACTAGGAGACAACAATGGCCCTCTTGGAAAATGAAAACGACAAAAGCCACAGCAGCCACACGGTGGCTTCAAAGAAAAGAAGGATTTCGGGACAACCATACGAATCATGCCTGGCTTTACTTTAGATGGAGGGGGGGCCCACAAACGCCCAAAAAACACCACGGAAAAACACGGAGGTCCTGGAATCGAAGCCCCTTTTAGGTCAACTGTGTGGAGGTTGAGTTGGCAAAAAGCGGAAAGCTGGACCTTTCCCACATCCCCAGTTTTGGATAAAATCGTCCGGTCCGGGCTTGCGGGAAGTTCTTACAGAACAACATTTTCAGGGCGGAGGTGCGGAGGTGATCCAATTCGGCAACTGCCATCCCCGGAAACACAACACTTGAAACGCAGTCCCCAATTTGTGCGTTTACGACTAAAATGGCACCCTAATATGTGTAGTCTCGAATCCTGAGTGGGCTGGCCCAAAAACGTACCAACTTGTTGTTTGCCAATAAAAGGGTCTACCGTCTACCCATCAAGTTTTAGAGTCCATGAACTCTGGGAGTGAGTAGTTGATAAACCAAACGGCTTCAGGACATTGTCCATCAGTATGGTAAATCTGCAGTTGTTAGGTGGTTTAGTATCGGGCTTCATCCATCCCAACTGGTGCCTGGACATTGTCCACAGTGACATAGCAGAATTCATCATCCTGACATAACTCCCCAAGAGAAACAACACTGCCACCTTGCGTAAGGTCGCCAACCCTCCCCCCTTTTTGCCTCAGGTTGGGACATTGGTTTGCCCTGGTTTGGATTTGGCCCATTGGTTTGCCTTTGTTTCCGGAGAACCCCCCCCCCGAACGAAGCCCACAAAACAGACAACCAGCCCCAATTTCCAATTTTTTGTTCGCTGACAGAAGGCCCCAAGAGAACAAAACACCAGCGTAAGGGTTCTGTGGTTTGGATTTTGGTTCCTTTGCCTTTGCTTTCCCCAAGGGTAAAACACCCCTTCCCCCCCGCAACAAAGCCCCCCCCAAAAAAACAGTCATTTTCCAATTTATTGGTTCGCTGAGACAAGGCCCCAAGGAAAAAAACAAAAAAACGGCTTCGGTTCTGATCTACGAATGAAGCTCGGCCTTTTCTCACCTCCCGCCTCCGACCGGGTACTGCGCCGCCAGGAACACGGCGGGCCCGCTGCCCAACGACCGCCCGAAGAGGATGATCTGGGAGTACCTGGCTGTGTCTTGCGAAGGAAAAGCAAAGGAAACGAGAGGAAAACCCAGGGATAATCAAAGGAACCCGAACGAAAGGAAACCAAGGGAAAACCAAAGGAAACTGAAGGAAACGAAATAAAGCTAAAGGAAAATCAAAGGAAGCCAAAGGAAAACCATAGGGCAAACAAAGGAAACCAGAGCAAAATAAGCAAACTAAGGAAGCCAAGGAAATGCAAAGGAGAACCAACAAAATGCCAAGGAAACCAAAGGAAATGCGACATCGAGGGAGCATACTTCCATACTTCCAGTTGTTCGGCGGCACCCTAAAACGAGTTTGTGGCTCGGTGGGTTCTAGAAATGGTCAACCCCAAAAAGTCTTCTTCTTTTTTGAATCACTGGGCTGGGTAGATATGCCTTGACATACTGAACTAGCTGTCTCTGCTGCTTAAGCTGGACTGGGCTGGGTGTCGTTTTGAGAGTTCCCTGTTTGTACTAGGCCAAGGATAAAATGAAAAGGATGACAGGATGATACTTGTAGAGGAAGACCAACGGGAACTGGGAGGTCACTGGCACTGGGGAAGAAATCGCAAGACCCCAAGGAAGGTTCCTGAAGGCAAACTTCTTAGGGCTCTCGAACAGTTCGGCTCAAACCTTGGGGGTTGGCGTCCAGATGTTCCAACCAATTGCTTCGCGGAAAGACAAGGTGTCCTTGATTTGCCAATCAATACACTCACACATGATATGAACCTATGGTCACAATGTACTGAATTCCACACGCAACAGTATCAACATACGGTCACAATGTATACAATGGAACTTCCATAGCACTCCAAACGACTCCTGAAACCCACCTTTGTTGGGGGATAGGATCCGGATCCCTTTGTTGCGGCGTGATGGCATCAAACCTTGCAGGACCGGTAGACATGGTCGCCACAAAAAGTGCAAACCGAAAAGGATCCCCGGATTCATAAACCCCTGGTTGATTTTCATCGGGGGGTGTCTCCTTCTAGTGGTTGGATTCAGACCACTTTTGGAGGGAGCACCCCCCTAATAATGGGACGGGTGTATTTTTCCTGGGTCAACATTGAGCAAGTTAGAAGGGTCAAAAGTGCAAACCCAACCAACAAGGACAACTTGAACTCAGTTGTTCAAACAAAACCCTTTTTTGGGAAGACCATTTTCAGTGGGGCAGCCACCCGGAGAAAAAAAAAAGGAAACAGGGTGCCACTGAACAACTGAGTGAAGGGTTCAACAGCCAGGTCATAAGTCGAAGACCAAAAGCCAAAGACAACTTGGAAGGCTCAAAGGTTGATCCGCTTTGACCACTACCATGTCTCTGAGAGCTCCCCTCTGCTCCGAATACCTCTTATTGGCAAGTGCGGATACCGGAGTCCGAATCCAACCCAATTTTGGAAGAAAAAACCATTTCGGCTGACTGCAAGGTGCTTCCTCATGGGTGGCATGTTGGGAAAACCCCCATGGCCCTGGCAACTAGATGGCAGGTGAAACCAATTTTGAACCAAAGGAACCCATAGCCAGAGCAACCCGATCTGAACCAGGGGAATCTATAACTAGAGGAACCCATCAGCCAGGGGAACCCAGCGAGTTGTTCGGATTAAGGCGCCTGACGCCGATCTCGTCCACCAGGAACCGGAAAGCGGTCAGCGCCACCTCGTACACCGCGCTGTCTGAAGGCTCCTGCGTCCGAGTCACTCGCGTCACTCGCGCCTTGTGTAGTCTCACTTCGCGAGTGAACTGGCCCAAGAAGCACCCAATTTGTTTTGTTTGCCAATAACGTGGTCTACCCAACAAGTTTTGAAGTCCATGAACTCTGCGAGTGAGTAGTTGATAAACCACCTAACTGGTTCAGGACTTTGTACATCAGTACCAACCGGCGACATTGTCCACAGCGAAATATCAGAATTGACCAACCTGACACAAGGCCTCTGGGACATGGGTTTGCCGTGGTTTGGATGTTGTTCCTTTGCCTTTGGCTTCCCTGAAAAAAGCCACACACCTTTGCTTCGTGGCCAAACACCCCTAAAAGGGTACCCACAGAAAAACATGTTTCGCGAACCCCCCCCCCCAAAAGGTACCCACAAAAATGACACACCCATTTTTTGTTGGCTCCATATGGTGAAGCAGCCCGTAGCCCGGGTACTCCACCGCCAGCACATTCACCTGGATGCGGAGCAAACTGCCAAACTGTCCAGGAGATGTCAACATATGTCAACCAGGCATCCTGAAAAGGCGGCATTAAACCTGCTCAGGGGGATCCCGGAAGGTCAAGGTGAGTTCTTGACAGGACATGCTGCTTCAAGGGTCCCTGTTCAAGAAAAGCCCAATGATTCTCCCTTTTGGCTCGAGCACAAACACAGCGTCACGCATGGACCATGGAATGCCAACACACGGATCTTCTCTGCGAAAGCCGATCCGGGGGCCAAGCGAAATGCTTTGTTTTGCTCAGGGTTCAGCTCGAGATCCCGAAGCCGTTCACACCCGAAGCAGACTTCTTTGTTTGCGGCAATAATGACCCATTCGTGGTCCATGGAAGGAAGGTCTCGCCCGACTTGAACATAATTATCCTGAAAAGAATGCGCCTCGAATTTGGTCCATGGAGAGTCCCCTCGTTGTGGGAGATTGAGAGAGTCGCCCACATCTCTCGGAAATGAACCATAAATCAGGAATACCGACCAAAGCCCGTATGATCCTAGGTATCATTTCACAAACAAGGGATAGCAGCGGTGAAGGACTAGAACTGAAACTGAAACTGGTGGAATCCATATATAGGGAGCTGACCGTTTTGTTCTGGACACCTGTGGCTCTACGCCTTGTGCATATGCTTGCTAGGGCCTTTGTAAGCGATTAAAGCCCTGGTGGTTTGGCGGTGAAAAGCTTGAGACCCCGAAAAAAAACTCCTTGCCTATTTGGTCCCTATTGCCTTTTATATAGTTGCTATGTCTTCCTACCGCCAAACTCTGAGTGTTCCCTTACTCCACGAGCCCGCCACAGTCATTTTCAGTGGCTATGGGAAAGAAAGGGCCAAAGGGGAAAACAAAAACCCTCCAAACGGGGGCTCGGGGGGGTCCCCTAAAAAAGACGCCCAACCGGCAGCAAATGGTTGGTGTGTCCTTGTTTCCCTGTATTTCCCCGCTGGGTGACTCCACGCCTTAAAGAATGGCCCCATTGAAAGGTGATGCGTTGGGATCCCCACCGGGACCGGGAGTCGGAGTCGCGCGCGCGCGCCTTGAATTGGTCCCGTATGTGCCGCAGCACGGCAAAGGACATGCCCAGGTCCTCCGCATTGGCGTGGAAGAACAGGATCACCGTAGCCGCCTTCAGTGGCGGCGAACCCGGCCATTTTTTTTGTTTTTTATTTTTGCTCCGAAAGGCGTTTCCATCCCGTGGACTGTCTCCCTCCAACATAATGTGTCTCTTTCTCAGCAAAGACCGCCCAAAAGCGCGGGCAACAAACAGGTTTTGACCGGGTTGTCTCTGCAATTCTCGTGTTGTTTTGATCCAAGTCTGTTGCTTTTGTCCCGACTCCCGGACCTCAACCAAAGCAGCAGTTTGGCGCGAGCCGAACTAGCAGAACTGGGAAGCAAAGCCAATGGGGAAATATGGTGTAAAACAAATCGAGGGGAACCGAGACGGTTTCGGCTTTCCTTTCTCAGTGCTGTTTTGGTTTCCTGACTTCAAAGTTAATCGCACCTTTGGATCGTGGGTTTGGTGGTTAAGGGGTTGATTTCCATATACTACCATTTGCACTGTACAAAATCCAGGGGTTCAAATCCCAAAACCGCCAATCCAAATCACCAATCAAGGGTTACCTGATAATTTGTCGGCGATAGGTCACAAAGCCCTCCAAACTCTAGTCTACGTTCCATGTTTGTCCGGAGAGGGCAGCTCGCATTGGTGTCTGGAAAGAACCGGTTTTCGGCATATTGCTGGTTGGCGTGGCTCTTTTTGAGGCTGTGGAGATTTCAACCAAGAGCCGGAAGCAGCTTCCCTCCAAACCAAGACACACACGCCGTGGAACCGACATGGAACCTGCCTGAAGCCTCCTGCCAACTGTTGTGTTCCAAGTTCCGGGTCGGGAGGTGTCAGGGCAAACCACAGCTTTTGGTCTTAGTTTCCATTTACGCACGGGGCCATTTTGGGAATTCCAGTTTTTGTGTCAGGGCAAACCACAGCTTTTGGTCTTAGTTTCCATTTACGCACGGGGCCATTTTGGGAATTCCATTTTTTGGAGCCACAGCCAAAAATTTGGAAGTTTGGTAAGTAAACCAATTCTCTACGGCAATGGTATCGGAGTCGGAGGCTTAAAGCATATAACCCTCACGGATGCCGCGCGTTGAACGGCACCAAGTTGCGAGGGCCAATGTTCACCCAGAAGAACGGCGCAATCCATGCAGTTTCTTCTACACCCGCTCGCTTGGGCTGCTAAGTTGAAGAACATACTCCGAGCGAACACTGTCACTTGCATGAACCTGGCTGTTGGAACCACCCACGTGTTGAACGCTTGAGCCTCCTGGGCTTGAGTGCCAAGACAGCATTTAAAGCCGCTGGTTGAAAAAGCCGCTCTGTGGCTCTCCTTTTTTGGCTCCTCCCTCTAAGGCCCCCAGGGCCCCAGGGCCGGGGCTCGTTGATGGCCACATGGTTGCAACCACAATTTGCAATTCCTGCATCCAGAAGCCAGAGGTTCAAATCTATCTGGCTGAATTTCAATGGTTCGAGGCCTCCAAAACAAGCCTGAAATTCAGGCCCCTGGTTTTGGTGGGCCTGAATCATCCCGGAAATGCAAGAAACATGTCGGGTTCCCCATTAAGTGTACCACTCGCACGTGCCAATGCCTAGCCGTCAGGGTCAAACAGGTTGACGACCCAAGGCTCGTTTTCCCTGGACAACCAAAAGAACTCCCACCGTTTTGCTGAGTTGGCCGTACGTAGCGGTAAAAAAGCGTTCGACATGGAGACAGCTCCGAAAAGCTAAGCGCCAAAGAGAACCCAGCACGAAGTGGGACTTGCCCCACAAGCAAAAACACATATTCATATCCGCTTGAGGGGCTGTTGACCACTTGCTACCCTCCCAAAAACAAACATGGAAACTGAAAGGAAGTCTTTTCAGTTTTCGTTTGCCTTGTGGGGTCTTGCAAATTTATTTGCTGGAACCTAGCCTTCTTTAAACTTGTGGATTTTAGAAGAACCTCCTTCTGAGGACCCCCTGTTTGGCTCCACCTTCATTTTCCGGGAGTCTTTTTTGAGGGTTAACCTTTTTTTGGTGGGGGTGTTGAAGGAAAACAAAAGGAACCCCGCTGCGCCATTTTCGGGGGGTCCAACCTTACAAAAAACACTTCCATATTCGGCATCCCCCAACCCAACTCGACATTTCAGGAGTCATCCGGAGCCAACTAGTGTGTGTTGTTGGCGGGTTTAGCGGGAAGCCACAAGGAAAACCACCTTTTTGGGGGGGGTCGGGCCTACAAAAGAACGAGCCCCTGTGCCTGTGTTGGCTTGACACCTCGGCCCGAAACGGCGGCCCCCCCTCCCCCGGCCTTGGGCGCAGGAAACCAAAGGCACGGGATGCCGCTGGCGGTGTTGGCGCGCGTCGGGGAGATCACGCTGTTCCAGGGGATCCAGCAGAGGTTCCGCTTGTACGAGGCGGCACCATACCTAGGGACTATGGGCGCGGCTCGTCGTTTTTTGAGGGCACTCATTTTCTTTTGTGGATGGTTTTAAAGGAATACCAAGAGGACCTTTAGGGGGTCCCCTAAAAAAAGACACCCATAGTGTAGACTTATACCTAGAACATGCATAGCAAATACCTACACGTGGTGCCGTTCCTCCGTGTTGCCCACCCCCCACCCCCAAAGGTATGGTCCTTGCAGGGTGGGGTCGGGGAATGCTTCATACTAACTTCATACATATTGTGGACTTATAACGAGAAACTGCCTAGGATACAAACACGCTTGTAGGCTTGTAGGGGATAGCTATAATCCCCATGCCAATGGGGATACCAATTGCCAGGGCTGGGGATACCGATGGCATACCCGGATACCTATTGCCTTGCTGGGGATACCATACTCACTTGATTTTTGGCCCAAACTGGTACCCAAACCTTTTGTTTATGCACTGAAACGGTCTTCCCAAGTGACTACAGTCCGAAACAGAACTCAGAGAGTGAGCATACAGCTTGTCGGAGATCAGGGTGCCAAAGTTTGGATGGCGTTCGGAGGAAACATTCGCCAAAACTTCTCTTTTGAATGGCTATGACTACATGGCTGCTATTTCGATTTTCTTGGGGTTCTACTTCCAGCTGAGCAACCCTGGACTTCCTGGTGATCAGCGGGTTCATTGCCACATTCGGGACTTATCGGAACTCCCCTTTAAGAATCTGAGGGCAGTAAACAAAACCCTGAATGCGGTCCCCTGAATTGTATCCGACTTGGTCAACGTGAAAGACAAGAAACCAAAGTACATATGCAAAGATGTCCTCAACCACCCCAGATCCCAGATTCGAGATCCAAAACTGACGTCATTCCACACGCCTCAGGACAGCTTTGTCTCAAGTTCCTTGAAAACCCCACCTGCACACAGAAGGTGACTACAAATCGGGGTGTCTTCCCCCCCAAAGTGTTGGTGCTTTTTGGCTTCACCCTTAAAACCAGCCAGTAAAAGGGGTACCATCAAAAAAGGCAGAGCAAAATCAAACAATGACGGAAAGCCGAAATGTCAAAGGCGCACTTCGGAGTGAGCCCAAAGTCCACTTTCCTTGGCACCTGGATGACCAACGCATCCGGTAGGGCACTCAGTCTGGGTCTGTTGCCAAAAACATAGTAACAACAAAATCACTCGTTAGGAAGGGGGTCCTCCATCAAAAGATGGACCCCCTGCAAACTGCCATGGAACCCTTTGCTTGGGTTCTCCCAAAAGGAGATCTCTCTTCTAACATGCGACTTGTTGGGTTATATTTTAAGTGAATCAAGATGTTCAACGTTCACCCAGAAGACTTCTCCATCAAGAACGTCGCTTAAGATGTTAATCTGCAGGTGGAGTGTTCTCCCACACTTCTGGGTCCTCCAGTGGAGAGGTTAGAATGAGGGTACCCTTTTTTCAGTAGGGGAAGCCTCCCAACAAAAGTTGGTCAAAGGGAACCTAGCTGGGGGACCTAGACTTTATTCGTGTTGGGCTCGGGCTGCGACGGCTGCGGCGCCGGGAAGATGAAGCGATTCCCGAGGTTGCCCCACATGGCTCGAGCGAGCGAAACCTTCGGTTTCTCACGCGGATGGCGCGGATCCGGTCGCCCGGTCGCGGCGCAGCGCTAGCCACCGGGCATCTTGGAAGTGTTGAGCCCTAGAGCCTGCGGATGTTTGTTTTGCGTGGCTTTTTTTTTTTACCCCCTTCTTTGTGATCTTCTTTTTTTTCAGGCGAAGAGTGCCCCGTCTTAGGGCTGAAATTGAAGGGAAAACCAAAGGAAACTGCTGATGTTGGTCAAAGGATGCCCACAACAGAGGAATCGTATCTGACCCTAAAGTTGAGAACCTGCTCCCAAGGATTCCCGGGCATCCCCCCTCTATCCCCCCTCTATTCATCAAACATGGGTTTAATCCGGGGTTCCCACTAGTCATGACAGCATCCGCTGAGAGCGAGCATCTGGCGAGGCACTTGTCCTTAGTTTAGGGTCTTCAGTTGGGGGAGAAGCCTAAACGCGCGTTGGCAAGGCTTAGTCCAGATTGTGGGAGGGGGGGGGGGACACCAGAAACACCCTCCATAGTTTCGTTTGGACGGCTGCGCAAGGTCTGGTGTTCTGGCTGAGTACTGCGGTGCTCGTTATAAACTCAGAATGGCAACCAAGCGGTTCAGTTTGAACCAACCAAATAGACCATACAAATCGCCAAGGCATCTAGTTGTGCACTAGGATAGCAGGTAGCCAGAAATGCAAAAAACAGTCCAGCAATGACTGGGCCAGATAAGACATCCACCAAATAAGTGTCTGCACCGCTTGGCATAGTAAACATTTGGTCGGTAAAACAAAACGAAAGAAAACCGTTCACCAATCTTCTACCCTTTTTTTCTTGGCCCACATCTGGGCTACACAGAAGATAATAGTTGCTGATGATGATTCTACACACAGGCAAAAACACGGAGGCCATGAGCTGATGATGAGTCTGAGTTCGCAACAATAGTCAATTTTGAATCCAAATTGATGTGCGTCGAAATAAGGGAAATCCAAACGTGGTGGTTGTCCTTCTTGTTTCCTTTTTGAGCCGCCCCGAAAAGGGTACCCTCCAAAAAACACCCACCCACCCGCAGAACTCAGGGAGTGTGTAGAGTGTCCCCAAACACCTGAACGTGGCATGCAGTGATGGCATCCATTGCAAGTAAGCGTGCGCATATGTGGGGCAAATTGTCGCAGAGTTGAAGTTGCAGGACTTCCTTCGTGGGCAACACATTAAGCACAACTGTCCTCTACCTAAACCCTCAAAGTTCCCTTGGAAGTGGGTGGTTGCCCCGCAATCATGGGGCGAATTCCCTTTTATGGGTAGCTTGAGGTTCCAGGTATAGTTCCCAGGCCAGAAACAAGCACATCCCGAGGTGAAGGACTCTACCGATCCGTTGCCTGCGCCCGACCAGCCATGCGAGTCAGAGCGGAGCGCGTGCGGAACGTGGGCTCTGGAAGATTGGAGAAGATGGTCCATGCCCTTTGGGTTTCCTGTAAGGCCAGGTCCTCCAGTAGAGAGCTTAGAATAAGTTGGTACCTTTTTTTTTTGTAGTCTAGTTTAGTAGCGGAACCCTCCCCCAAAAAAGGGGTAAAGGGGCACTGCTGGGGGACCTAGAAGGGGAAGAATGGACATCTGTTTGAGGTTTCACCCATTTCTGCGGCGACAGGCAAGGCAAAATTGAAGAGCCTGCTTGTCGCATCCCTAACTGACTTCCTGATTCTTGCTGGTCCCCAAAAAAGCTTCCCAAATTCTTTCTCTGCCACTAACATGCTCACTTCAACTCCTGACGTCTCAAAAGTCTAGGACCTCCGGCGGCGAATTCAGCGGAAGTCGCCACATGGGACAGCGGGGGGTCCAAAGGCTTGGTTTCTGTGGGCTATTTGCCGCCCAGTCCACAGATTTTCGAGCAGACGCCCTGGAGCAAGGCTCGACCTTTCCTTGGTGGCGAAATCTGCGGAGCCCCGCGGAAAGTTGAAAACTTTTAGTGGCTTAGTACGGAAAACCCACTAGGTTGGATCAAAAAGTGATTCAGTCCTAACAGCCCTGGTTGCAAAATGCGCCAAAGCTGGTATTGGATGGCGGCGATGATGGCTACCTGGACGCTTGAAAGACATGGCCGGCAGCACGCAGTGTCTGGTCGGGGTGAGCGCCATAATTTACAACAAGTAGGCATATTTACCTGCAGTGACAATCAAGGTAGTGAAGTAAGGAGTCTTGAGACGCGTGGTCTTAGGGGAGAGAGGTCCGAGTTCAACAGCTTGATACATTTGTGTGCTCTTCCAAACCTCCTGAAAACACAGGATTTTGCCTCCCAAAATTATGGTCGGTGAAATGTATTGTTGAGGGTAGTTCTTTCGGGTCCAGATAGACTCACTGAAACGGCCAGGAGAAGGCAGCTCTTGAAAGTAAACCGACTAAAGACAAGAGAGCTGAATAAAATGAGCAGAGCAACGCTGGGCTTGTCTCCAGATGGAGGAACCCCCCTTACATGTGGCTGTGGCTCTCAAAATTAAACAGGAGGGGCAAGCCGCAGGTTGTGGTCCATGTTTCCACTTCGCAGTGGTTCCATTTTGGTACCGGTTTTTTGAGCCACAGCCATGTGTGTTTTACTGCCTCCCTTTGATTTGCAACACAGGGGTATCTGTTAAGAGACAAATACAGTGTCAACAAGAGACTCTAGGTAGAAATCAATTGCCAAGGTCGTTTTGGTACGTGCAACATATAACAATATGTAGCAATCCAGCATAATCCAACAAGCTAACCTAAAAATGACCTCACTTCACGACCTCTATTTGCTTTTTAGGGGCCCCTATGTAGCAGCTATGAGGACCTCACTTCTCTATGTACCAGCGGCGTTCTTCGGGGGCCCCACTCTCTTTTCCTTCTCATGCCGAATCCCGAGTGCCAGAGCTTCACCGTGGCCGGAAATTCGAGGGGGACACCAAAAGGCCAAGCCTTTTTTCCCTTTGGGGAAATGGGGTTATCTCAAAAATATCTCAAAATAGGGTGGCCGACAAATGGTGGTTATTGTGGTTTTCCATTTGGCTTACCTTTAACAACCCCCCCAAAAAAAAATCCATGCGGCTTGCCTTTAACACCCCCCCCCCAATTTTCCATTTGGCTTACCTTTAACAACCCCGCAAAGCATAGGTACCCTCACAAAATGACAAACCCAAACAGGGGTGGCTGTGGTTTTCGCTGGAGCTGCGACCCATTGGTGGGACTACCAGAAAGAACATTGTTGAGACCCAGTGGCACAACCAAGCAACACCGCCACTCTGGCTGGCATCTGTGCATTTGTAGATGACAAATCACAACAACCAGCTCCTACCCTCCAGTGTTCATTGTGTTCTTGCTCCGCAGGCAGGCTGAGCCAAGTCCATTTTGCTACCTCTTTGACAGACCAAAAGGAAACCATGCTCAGAACCAATTCGCCGCATTCCACAGGCTCAACCAGCCAAGCCCCAAAGTGCTCACGCCACAAATTCCGCAGCACCTTTTCGCGCGCCCTTTCCAATGGCGCTTCAGGGTTTTACGGCCCTTCCGCTTGCGCCAGTCGGCCCTTCCGGTCGGCTGGAAGGAAAGCTCGCAGTGCCAAACAGCGCTGTTGCCCAACAAAACCACCAGGATCTCAGCAGGATCTCAAGGGGGAAGGGAAGAACAGAGATATTCTGAGCAGTCTAACATCACTAAGGGCCTTCATCCCTGATGCAAATTCGCCAATTCGCCAAGGCCTTCGGCGCCGGAAGTGAAAGCTTGGCCAACCGGTGAGATCGATTTCGGACAGTTCGGATCTCAGACTCCTGGCTTCACCGAAAGCGATGCCAGCCGCAGCCTAAAGTCCAACTTCTGTTTTTGCCGCCAACATCGTCTCCCAAAAGATATAGCCAGAAAGTGCAAAGCGTGCCAGAACTGAAAAATATCTACACTCCACAACATGGAGGGACTGCTTCGAAGTGATGAGGGAGCTGTAAGGGAGCAAGAAGCTTTCCACACCTCCTTTTCGTATGCTTTCTCCACAAACTTGTCCATAGCCGGCTTCAGCCTTCACCAACAGGGGCGCTTCAGCTTCACCTTCTTTGTTGTGCAGGGCAATGCCTTGTAACGGGTGAAGCCGCTGACACCGGGAATTTTCTCAGAGCCCGACTTAGTGATCAGGCGGACCCATGTGACACATGTGTCAAAAGGGCCCAAAAACGGTCATTGTCCTTTCGGTTTACCTGGCACACACAAGGCGAAAAGGGCAACTACCCTTCAAAAAATATAACAAAATGCCTGAGGCTCCACCGACATTGCCGAGGTAAGAGTCAAACTTGTGGCATCCAGAAAGCGACCAAGGACGCCCCTGACAGTTGCCCCCGCTCGGCTCGATCCCCTTGTGCACTTTGGTGGACTGAGCAAGCACAGACACCATTTTTTGTCCGCTCCAAGGAAAACTATGCGGACAAAAAATGGTCCCAATAGCAGGGCACCTACGCCCCTCAGCTAGGTACAAGAATGCTCCTCAAGAGCTAGGTTAAACACTATGCCCCTCAATAGCTACCATAGCTTTTATCCAAGGTCCCAACTATGTACTTCTGCGTAGGTGCCCCTGCAAAATAATTGCAACACAGAAGCTGAAATACACTATGCAGGTGGTTTGGCCCCCCAGACTCTAAACAATATAATTCTGGTAAATTTTTAGCGAACCTTCCGTGGCTCATAGGCGCCCCCAAACACCATGGTTCAAAAGGGACCCTTCAATCAGAAACCCCCAAGGTTCTACCAGAAGCTTCCTTTCGAGCCAAGACTTTTTGCCCCCAGCCGATCGTTTTCCTGAGGGCCAGCCCTTGGACTGGGGTCGGACGTTCGGGACCTATGGCTTCATCTTTTAGGGGAACCTCCTTTTGGTTTTCATGGGACAAAATCGAAGCACAACCAGAACTTTGGAGGCCTAAAAAAGACACACCCACATCTTGGCGCTTGACTACTGATGGACAAAATCCATTTCGCACCACCTAAGAAAGCCTGGAATGGTGATTCCCCTGCAAATACCAACAAACGCTTTGGTTTCAACCATGGTTTCAAAGTGGTGGGAATTGGATTTCGCTTTTCCATCCACAGTATGGTGAACAAAGAAACGAGACAATCTGTTGCCCTTGCTGCCAGCCTGAGGAGTGAGCTCATGGCGACTCTGCCTGCGGGCTTCTCAAGAAGTGTCAGACCTTTCTTCACTTGCGCGTTGTGATCTTGATTGTTGTTGTGCTCATCATTACTACCATTGTTTATATATATATATATATATTATCATTACTACTGTTGTTCTCATCACTACTATCATGCTCATTATCATGATCATTTGGGTTAGGCGCCCCCTTGCAGAACAATAAGACACACGTAACACGTTCCAAACAAACGATCACGGAAAATGGAAGACACTTCGCCATGCATTCAGGATCGTTGGTGCGTCCGATGGAGGACCAAACAATTACGATCCTGATAAGCGGTTGGTGGACATAAGTCCCCACCTAAACGACGTCCACCAAAGGGTCCCTAGTTAAAATTCCTAGCCATATGTCTGTAGAGGTTTGTTTTGTATATCGTAAATCCCGCTGCTAGGTGGCAGAAGGGATCAGAAAATCCAATCTGAGCGGAAGGGATTTAGTTTTTTCAGCTCTTGGTAGGGCTCGAAGGAACTCACATGTTCGTTGGCGAGGTGCTCTGATCTTGCATGGGCTCTATGTGTGTCTCTGTGTGTCTCTGTGTGTCTCTGGTGTCAGTGTGTGTGTGTCTCGGGGATTCCCCATTTAAATTCATGGCCAATTCTGGAACCCTTTGGTGGTTTGTCTGTTTTTGAGGGTACCATTTTCACCTCGGGTTGAAAGGAAGCGAAAGGCAAGGCCACCAGCTAGGGGCCCAATTTTGACACACGCCCATGCCCATGTGGATCCAAATGAAACAGCGACCCGGCAATAGCGGCCGATTCATTTGTACGAAGGCTCCCTGAGGTTGGTGCATTCTTGTATGGTTTGTCCAGATTCACCGGATGCGTGCTCGCGGTGCAGCGCATGTGTTTTGAGTCGTGCTGCCTTTCTGACGCATGTGAAGTTTAATCAGGGACCCTTCGGTACATGCCGCTTTTGAGGTGGCTCCAGAATTGGCCATGAATTTAAATGGGGAATCCCCTCGAAAGTGGCTGGTGGACACAAATCCCCATACAAATGATGTCCACCAAAAGGTTCCTAATTAGAATGCGCAGCCAATTAAATTCATAGCTGCATCAAGTCCTCCATCAGCATTGCAGCAAGCCAACCGTGAAGGCTTATGGGTTACGGTTGGGTTGTTAGTTTGGTGCCTGGTGTGTGTGTGTGTGCGTGCCAGTGCCATTTTTTGTTGCATGCCCCTTCGGCTTCAACTTAGGAACTATTTGATTGTGGCGAGCCTCACCTGTAAACCAGGCTCGGACCCATTAAAACTCATAGCCATATCTTCGAACATTTCGAATGGGAGCGTGGGGCGAGCGAGTCCAGGGTTTAACATTCATCGATCCGTTCAATGTTTAGGTTCAATGTTGCTACAACCAACTTGTCTAGCTTGCCGCTCAATGCTTTTCCAGCGAAAACTTGTTGGCCTTTTATTTGGTTGATGCTAAAGGGAACTCCAGCACACAACATGAAACTAAAGATACTACCCGCTGGACATCTGGGTTGTTCAATTTGCTCCCCTCAACAGTGACGCTGTCATTTGGGGTGTCTTCGTTTTCAAGCGGCTGCGCCAAAGCATTCCAGAACAGTTTTTTCGGACGAACCGAGTAGCTGCGGTTTGCCATACAACCCACTCAGCTACACAGCTGCACCCCAGATGCCCAGTGGCCATGCGCAAAAAAGGGCATCCTTTTTTGGTGGGTTGACTTTAAAGGGACACCCTTCCAAAAAAAAGGAAACAAGGGAACCACTGGGCAACTGGGGCACGTTCCAGGCCAAGCTTATGTTCCCAGTCCCCAGTCCCCAGATGCACCTTCACTTGGGCCACTTCAGCAGGCTCTGCCGGCTGTTCGGCTGGTGGTTCTGCCGGCGGCGCCACGGGTTGCTCGGCTGGTGGCTCTGCCGGCGGCGCCACTGGCTCTTCGGAGGGCTGTTCGGCTGGCGCCGCAGGCTGGGCTGGTGGCTCTGCTGGTGGCGGCGCAGGCTGCTCAGCTGGTGGCTCTGCCGGTGGCTCTGCAGGTGGTGCTGCAGAAGGTTTGGCCGGTGGCTCTGCGGGCTGCTTCGGCGTCGGAATCTCCTGCACGGGTCAAACAGCCTCCAAGAAGAGGTTGAACACCTGGCCCTTAAATGGGACTTAACAACAGTCGTGCGCCGAAATCCTTGGCACCAAAGGGAAGCCAACCAACTTTTGCACTGGCTGGCGCTTCTGAGGCTTGCCGCAGCCCTAAGCAAACTTCAGCCATTGCGCGCCCCTCATCTCGAAGGCAGCTGGAAAGTGGCCGTTCAGAAGCATTCGTAGGGCCCGCCAGCCAAACAAACAGCCCTTTGTCCAACAACAAAATTATGCTTGATGCAAAATGCAGCAGCTTCCTCCTTTTTCTCCTATTGCCGTTGGTAGCGCCTCCTTCGGGATGGCTACTGTGAGTTCTATGCGCTCCGGACATGTCAGCTGACGTCGAAGCGAAAGCGTGCGCAGCCCAAGTTGCAGTCGAGGGAAGGCTTCCGAAGCTTCCGGAACCGCGGCGACAAAAATCCCTAGCCGAAGCCATGGGATGCTGCTGGAAGGATAGGCTTGGATGCTGCCTCCCATCTGCTAGATGCGCGCGCGCCAGTCTCGCGCTTCAAAGCCCAGGACACCAAGAACTTATTCAAGTCGGTTTCAAAATCCATCTTCGGTTTGTGCTTTCGTGTCTGTGTGCTTTCGTGTTTGTTTGCTTGCTTGTTTGCTTGCTTGTTTGCTTCCTTGTTTGCTTGCTTGTTCGCAATTTTCATTTATTTCATTCGTTCCCTTGCTTGCTTGCTTGCTTGCTTGCTTGCTTGCCTGCCTGCCTGCCTGCCTGCCTGGCTGCTTGCTTGTTTGTTTGTTGGTTTGGTTTGGTTGTATGCTTGTGTAGGACTACCCTTCTAGGCAAATGAAGCACTGGGAGAAAAAATACAGCCTTTCTCCGTTCCCCGGGGGAAAAAACACGAATCGTCTGTTCTACCCTTCTTCGGGGTGAATTTCATTCACATGTTGGTCAGAATGGTCAAGGCCAGCCTTTTCAGCTGGGCTCCTGCCTTTCAACTCAGCATGGTCACAAGGTTCTAGGGTTTGAGTCTTTTTCCATTCTTTCCAACCATCGTTCTTTTCAAAAAACCGGTCCGTTTTCCCGGGGTTTGTTGAGGTTGGATTGATTCCTTTTCCATTCTCTCCAACCATCGTTCTTTAAAAAAAAACACAGGCCGTTTCCCGCTTTTTCTGTTTTTTTTGGTTTTCGGTCGTTTAGGAAGAAGGATCCCTGGAAAGAATTTTGAACTGGAAGGTACCCCTAGAAAGGCACCCTCGAAAAAAAGGCGCCGGGTCAAAACTGCCACACATATCTGCACCACCCAAGGCATATTTTCAGATCCTAGTCTGTCCTCCCGCCTAAAACAAAGCTTATGAGCTGGTCTTCCTTTTTGGGTGCATGTTTAATGTGGAATTCCAGAAAACATGACCTACGAGTTTGTCCTTGTTTGCAATTATGGGGGAAATTGCACCCTTTTTTGGTGGATGTTAAAAAAACTTTCGTTTGGGATCCCTGAAAAATCCACACGCCACTTCTCCAGGCCTCCGCTCGAGCGTGGAAGGGATCCGCCTCGGAGACGGAGTCTCGATCCACGAGATCCCGGCACGGGGGTGAAAGGACCAAGAACAAAAAAAAAAGTATCTCTGGTCCCTTTAAAAGGAACATGGTCCCTTTAAAAGGAGCATGGTCCTTTTAAAAAGGTGAATTCTAATATTTCACCAACCTGAAATAAGGTGGTTGGGGGGCTGTTCCCCACATAAACCACCATTTGGGGTGAATTCGGTCGTGTGAGGTCGTTATAATTCACACAGAAGTATCCCTGGTCCCTTTAAATCGGGCCGTTTCAACAAGACAAATACAACCGAATCATATCGTTGCGTATTGCGAGCGATCGGTATCGAAAAGCAAGTATCGCAACCTCAGATCGTATAGGAGCATGGTCCAAACCAGGACCCCAAAACGTCACCGGAAATGGTGATGGTCCGTTTGGTTTCCTGCAGACCAAGAAGAAGCACCCTCCTAGAAAAATCATTTCAAAAAGGAGCATGGTCCCCCCCCCCAAACGTTAGCTTCCTGCTGTCAAAAGGGTGGCAGGGTATATCCCTACGCAGCAAATCTGGGCTTTTCCCAAACTCTTGCTGGTGAGATAGGTAGGGAATGTCGGAATGAACCGTTTGGGGATTCCCGAATCAAGGACACCACTTGTGGGATGGTTCATAGGGGTCATTCCCTCATTCCCTGCTGAGCACCAGCAAGAATACCTTCCACCAACTAACATGGAACCTGACAAAGGTTCCTGGTTTGGACCATGTTCCTTTTAAAGGGGCCGAGTCGCTGTCAGGTTCCATGTTAATTGTTGGGAGGGTATATCCACGCACCACATGTGTTCTTCTCAACAAGTTGCGTGCCCGGTCGGTTTCCCTTTCAAATCAGTGAACAGGGGTCATGGGTACTGTGAATGGTCAAAATCCCAAGCACGGATCTGTTGGGAAACAGCACCCGCCCACTGCGGGATTTTGTCCACACTATCCCTACATGTAAAGAAAGGGCATATGTGGGCACTTGGATGCTTAATCAACTTAGTAAGAAGGTACCATGCTTGTAACTTGGGGAACTGGGGTTTGTCCCCCTCTGGGTGTGGCTCAAAATTCGACAGGAGTGGCGCCGGCTTTGCCGTTCAGAAGGGATGATGACCCCAAATGAATAAAACTGGTGAGTTACTAGAGGGCTATCTCCTCTTGAAGTAAAACATCTAAACCGGAACATCCCCTTATATAGTGAACGATGTCAACGATGGGGTTGGTGAATCTCCGGATCCCATCACATGCTTAAGATGGCAATGCAGGGATCGGCGTTAGCAAAGAGAACTCTAGCAAGGAGGCGTGGGGAGTACAGGCAGGTCACTGTCCGCTGGTGCGAGAGGTCGGGAATGATCCAGGTGTTGGAACCAACCCAGGGCTTCCCTAAGGAAACCAAATCGGGGGGTGGTTTTTTCTGCTGGCCATTCCATTTCTCACTCCCTGCCTATCGAACCAGCAAGATGACCGCAAGTGAAAAGCTGCGCTTGTTTTTGAACGACGTGATTGATCCAACAGCAGCTTGTGGTGTCCAAGCACCGGCCAATTTTGACCGAGGTTCTCAAAGGCTGAATATGCACCCTATGTGAAACTATATATGCATATCAATATATTTATATATACATATATATATATATATATGATAGATAAATGATATATATATATATACATATATATATATATATATACATGTTGTATATATATATATATATATACATACATATATACACACACAGCTTGAATATATATGTGAACCCCTAAGTTGAACGCTCATGGGTAAATGAATAATCACATTTGCTGAATCATGGCAAACCCAGCACCCAACACCCCACCATGCATTGACCTGGGTTCTTGCGACGTATGTCGGCCCTTGATGTGTGGCAATTGCCAACACGTAAGCTTTGCTTTTCATCCGCATAGTCAGCAACTTTGAAACAGTCGAAATGCCGAACTTTGCATTCTGAATGTTGACCTCCTGCATGCTGACCACCTCCGTATTACCACCATCTGCGATTCAAACGCTGACCACTCCAACCATCCTGTAATTAACGTGCACACGCTATGAAAAGCGCCAAACACAATTATCATCACAGAATTGGTGTCAGTTGTTGAGAGTAGGCTTTTGCAGTTGAACTCCACAAGAAACCCATTGGAAAACCACCAAATGTCACATCCAAATGTGGGACCCGTCTCAGGAAATCCGTGAGAAGTGAACCCCCAAGTCCGCGACCTTCTGTGGATCCTGCAAGGCTCGAAACACTAGCTCCATCTGAGGTGTACTGTGGATGGTTGCGAATTCCATTTGGCTGTGGCTCAAAAAAGCGGAATTCCAAAACGGGTTGCCCGATCGGTAAGTGGAAACATGGTTGCCAAAACCTGCGGTTTGCCCCTCCTGTTTAAATGTTGAGCCACACCCATTTCGCGCCACCGTCCAGAAACCCAATAAAATGGAAATGGATTTCCCGGCAAAAAGCAACCAATGGTTTTAACCATGAGTTCCAAGTGGTGCGAATTGGATCTCGTCTATCCACAGTATCAATTTGCAGAAACTGCTGCAATTCCAGACTGGGCACAAAGATCCAGGTCTCCAATTCCAGGCTGGGAATAAAGATCCAGGAAAGAAACCATCACTTGGCATGACTTTTGTTATCCCCAAGTGAGATCGTTGTAGTATGTGTGCAAGTTGAACGACCATGCTGAATTAGGTGTGTTTCCCTAGCGTGCGTCACAAGTCGCATTTCCTCACGATTTATCTGGAAGGGCTTCTGGGGGATTGACACAAACGGCCTGGCAAAAGATATGATTGTGTCCTCGTTCGGTCTCCTCTCAGGGAAAGCAAACATTGTGTCCCCAAGGCAAGAATCTCAAGTGAAATTCTAGTGGGCAACTGGTCCTGAACACACGTACGCGCACACCTGGTCCCAGTCTCTTTAATACCTTTGTGCGAGAAGGCATTCGAACTAGGCCATGCATCCGTTTGAATTTCAAATAAGTCCCGGCACATGTTCCTCCGGGCGCACTCGCATATTCAGGGTGCCTATCGATGAGGTCTGTGGACATGGCAGTGATCGAAGATCATTTCCAAACAATAGCTGGTGAAATTTGTTGGTCGCCCTTCAAACACCCACATTGAAACGAATGCATCCTGTCGGGGTTTCCGCCTGAGTACCCGTAACCCTTCGGGAAATCAAAGGCCCCCCGGCCCCCGGTTCCGAACCCCAGAACCGCTCTGATAGTCCAACCGAACTCTCATTTATATACGGAGTGCTCGTCGTTGTTCGGGATTCGGACCCCGAAAATGGCGCTTTTTCCCGTATCGGCTTTTCTTTAAAAATACAGAACGAAGGGGTAGCCCTCAACAAAGACAAGCACCCATATTTGGTGCACAAAACCCTGCACCAGTTGGTAGATGGCTTACCCCAGCGCTCGGGCCTGCCGCACGGGCCTACCATGTGCCCGCTCGCCCCCAGATCCCGGCTATGGTTCCCAAACCACTGCCCCCACCCCTAGTCCTAAGCCCCTCACCCGCACTCCAAACCCAAAAGACTAAACCAACCTGAAGCCCCAAACCCATCCGAACCCACTCCACACCACACCTGAAACTCAAAACTTCTACACCCACCTCAACCAGCCCTGAACCAACCCTATTTCTGGCTGGGATTGTCCCTTGCCCTCCAATTCCCCGGGTTTTGGTTGTGGCTCAGGTGTTTGACCTTTCCTTCTCTTGAACTTCCCCTCACAGCTCCTCTATTTCCAGCTTCGCACGTCCTGGCCAGCTTCGGACGTGGGAACCACCGGCTTGAGATTATTGGCGGGTGATCATTGCTCCACAGGGTGAACAGGGGCAATTGCCGCAATGGGTCCGTTTGCAGGTGATTGGCTCACACACATCGCAATGGCTCCGAGACTCAGCTGTTGAAAATGGCGCGGGTTGCCCAAATCCTAATTCTGAGTACTGGCTGAATAGGGGAACCCCTTTGTTGGCTTGCTGTAGAGGCGCTAAGCGATTTCTATTTTGAGCCAATCTCTTCTGGATCCTTTCTTGGGAGACTACCGTGGGGGACCAACTTCTTGCGCAACCCAAGGGAAGGACCAAACGGATTGTCAAACTAAACTGCACAGGAGCCGAGTAGTGCTCCTCTGCGGATTGTTGCTCTGCATTTTTATCTCACATACCCAAAGAAACGGTCAAAACCCCAACCAGCAGCATTCACAAAGGTCGCCACGCGCCTCTTTGAGGCATCACCAAATCACCCAATCTAACAGTTGAAACCACAGCTTGGTGCCAGAAACTTGGCCCATCTCGAGATTCTGTTTCAGGATTCATCTGTTATAACATCTGAAAGATATGCTTACTTCCTCAGTGTGTGGCAAAAGCAGAGTTAGTAAACTGCTTCCCAAAACAGTTTAAACTCCATGAACACAGGAAGTGAGATCATTTGTCATAAAATCTGAGACTTTAAGACTTGCACGTCGCAACCCCTTGAACCTCCTGAACTCAGTTGCGAGACCCTGGTAACAAAGGCACTCTGGGCTAGGGGAAGCCCTTTGGTGAGGGGCCAACAGGTACCCTCTGACTGAAACAACAATAGGCAAAGTCGCTTTGGTTTGGCTTGTGCTCCCCAAAAAATGCAACGTGACAGAAGGCCAATGCGGACGGGTCCTATCCAGTGATTGTGCTATATCATGTCTACATGTAAAGATGTACAACTACGTATCGATATGCGCGTAGCAGAGCGATTCCGCTTCATCTGAACAAATTATCTGCAAGCAAAACCTACTCCCCCTGACAAGCACATACCTCAATGCTTCTCAAACCAGCTCAACTCCAACAGAATAATTCCCAAGTCTATGCAACCGGACGCGTCCGATCCCCGCCGCGCCTGAATTTGCCGAGCTCGAGAGAGGCGTGGGGCGCTCCACTTTCTTGATGTGCCAGAGGGTCATGAGCTGGCACAACGCATCCGCTGTCCGCGTCTCGGAATTCGCTGCCCAACTCGTTTCGTGGTTTGGAGCTGAGCCGAATGGCTGGTTTGGTGGGGAAGTGGGGGTGGTTTCGCATTTACGCTTCACAAGGTGCGGGGAGGGTAAAGCCCCAAACCACCCGCCGTCTCAATTCGCTTCCCTCCTTGTTTCGTGGTTTGGAGCCGAATCGGTGGCTTGGTGGTTAGACCACATGATCCAGGTGTTCAAATCCCCAAACCACAAATCCAAGCCGCCAAGTAGAGGTTGCCTGACTGTCCGCTTTCCGCTTCACGAAAAACACAAAGAAACGGTGCTGTTGGTTTGCCAAGGGTGGCCTGCCTCAATCCACGAGGGCCAAGGAGTTTGTTGGTTGGCTGGTACTTCAGGACCGGCTACTGAAGCGGCCTGTTTCCCTGGATGCAGACATTTACCCCTGTTATAAGTAGCTTAGGGTAGCTCAGTGATGTGCTTTCCAACGAGGTAGTCGGAAAATGAAGAAGACGGCCAGGCGAAGTCACCAAATGTCAATTGAAGGTACCAGCTGCCCCCAAATGCAGGCCGCGCCGGCTTGTCAGCTCGCTTCATCGTCTTCACGATCTTTCTTTTGCGCGAGGTTTGCGCCGCTTGCGCTTGTGGCGCCACGCGGGGTGGGGAGAAAGCATTTCCGCTTCCTTCCCCCCGTGTCGCGGTAGAAGGAGCTGACCCAGCAGGTCCACGGTACGTATTTCACCTCGTGCCATCGTACACCTTTCCGGTTCTTGCTCTGCCTGCATCCAATTTGTCATGTGCATGCGTTTCCACTAGCTCCCCGGCCTCCCAGCCAAGGAATGCAAAGCCCCATGGACCGCATGAAGCTCCTTTCTTGGCGAACCCCTTTTTGAGGGTTGGACAAATTAGGTTGATTCACCGCAAAAAACGGGGTGCTCCCGAAAATTGGGGGGGTGGAGCTGCTACCCAAGCAGGCTTTCCAAGTTTCTGGCGGTTTCGCCGTGACTTCCCGGGTCTTCGGTTGCCCTTTTCTTGGTCGCTATTGGGTAACGGATCTTTGGACTATTAAACCTTTTGGGTTCAAATCATTTGGATCATCTGGGTCTTCCGAATTGAGCCCACAAAAAGTCAACAACTTCTGGAAAGGAGTCTCGCCAGCAACCAAGCTGCTTGGACCTGCGCAACAGCAACAGGTTCATTGAAAACCACTAGTTTGTCTTCAACTTCAAAGAGGGAAATCCAGCGACCCCTGGCGATTGCGAAGGACATTCCGCCCCAACCAAAGCAAGCTCAAACGCCGCAGATCACCAGAGTTTTTCAGCCCGCGCCGCTTTCCCAAACACATGCAAAGTTGCAGCATAAGGCGCGCCAAAAAGCGGAGATATGGTCCGTTTTTTGGCACGGGACACCCCCCTAGCACGCCCACTACGTGCGCACAAGAAACGAACCTGTTGGAAACTGTGAGGGCATCATTTGGCTGTGGGTCAAAACCAATGGGAACCCATTTTTGGGTAGGTGCACCAAACCTATTTTAGTGGGGATTGGGATGTTCACTGGGGGTACGGGATTTCGACCCATGGCCATTTCGCAAGCGGCGAATGTTAAACTCGGATTGAGTAGAACATCTGGTTGATTTTTTTGGGGGAGTGTCCCTTTTTAGTGGTTGGATTCAGACCACTTTTGGAGGGAACACCCCCCTAATAAAATGGGACGGGTTAGCCATCGGCAATTGGACTCTTGGCACTATTCTTAACTCGGTTGTACGTGTCTTGAACGTACCAGCAACAGAGGCTTCTTGGACAGTTCTGAAGGAAAGCCGAAGGGACATGTTCTTCGAAAACACACAAAAAACATGTTTAGGGGTCCTCTATTTTGAGAAGACCCATGAACAAGTGCGACGAATTCTCCAATGAAAGCTTGACTTGGTGCCTTTGCGCCGATCTGCAAACCAAATAATTGGGTGTGGGTCAAAATGAAACCACTAGGAATTGGACCGCAGGTTTTAGAAACCACGTTTCCATTTACCAGGGCAGGCCATTTTAACAGGGATCCTTACATTATACACCTGAACATTGCCTTGTAAATGGTGGTTAAGCCATGTTTCAAATGGTTGCAAAATGTATCTTTTAAGGAGCCCTGTTTAGGTACCCATTTTTGATCCACAGCCAATTCCACAGCCAATTCCAACTTCTGCGGACATGCCTCGGGATCTCCGCGGTAGCCGTGGAGCGTCATCGTCGCCTCGAAACCCGGCGCTGAAAAAATGACCCTTCTTGGGGTCATGACCACTGGTTGTGGGTGACCCCATTTCGCTTATGGGTCATGAGACTCGACCCTAGGGTTCAAAACACATGCATTAAAAGCATGGTTGACCCAATTTGGATGACAGTGCCTAGGTAAACAATGGCGGTTGTACGAACCCACATCGCTTTCAAAGGTGGTTTGAACCGTGAAGCCGGCAATCCGGTGAGAGAGAAATTGCACACTAACCCCAGCACCGAACCAGCTAGTTGGTTCGCTTCCCATCAAACTCTAGAGAATTCATCAGTCACATCCCTCCAGTGGCAAGGTGCCTCCAAAATTCCATGGCCCGTGCGGTTGGTGCAACCATCCAACTACCTGCGTTGGATGCTTCTCCCTCATTGCCACTGGAACTGCACTTTCAGGGGCCCTTCAATGGCTCCGTGGGAAGCCAGTTCTTCAGTCACAACTTCGGCGATTTTCACCATGCGCAGCACCCAACGGGTCCCACAGCTTTTCTACCCCGAAGCATGAGATTTACAGATCATGGTTCATATCAAATGAAGCTTTACATGTCAAAAGGTGTGACTTAAGATGTCTCAGCCAAAGTGGTACCAAAGAGAAAGAAACTCCCCCAGCTGCCTTTCATGTAGGAATTGCAGCGGGAGATTGCCAAAAAGCCCTCGGTCGCAGGACTAGGAAAATGACAATCCCCCTATGAGAGATAGCCACAGAACACGTCGGGCTTTCTTTGTGGCGTCCCTTTCAATCACCGACTGCAGAGGCGAAGTTTGTTGGAAAGCCCCGGAGGGGAATCCCGTACCTTAAGGTTCGAAGGTGATTACTTGTTTCCCTTTTGAACCCCTCCCAACATTCTCAAACCGCCTAAGCATCACAAAAAACCCGCCATTGAGGCAAAGGCATCTCCATTCCACGGCTTTGGAAGGAAGTGCCGTTCAACCCCCCCCCAGCCGCAAGGACACCCTCCACTGAAATACAAAGGGACCTCCATCCAGGGCCCTTCGATCCCTTCGATCCCCTCTCTGGGCTCAGGCCGGCTCCCGGCTCCCTTCGACCCGGCAACGGCCTCGAACTCCACCCAGTCCCCGGGGTTCAGCTCCGAGATCTGGCGAGGGCGAGCCGGGAGATCGCGCGGGAGGTACACTCCCGAAGAACTTCCTCAGATGCCAAAGGTGGGGTTCCATGACACAAAAAAAAGGCATCGGCATCCGTTTTTTTTTCCCTTTCTCCGGTTGGTTGACTTTAAAGGAATCGGAACCCTTCCCAGACAAAAAAGGAAAAAAGGAAGCAACCCACTGGGCAACTGGGTAACAGCCATAAGCTCCCAGGCCTCTGTAAATGGTCTCCCAAGTCTCCCAAAGAGGTCTGTTCGGGAGCTTCCATGTTAGTCTGGGTAAGGAGAGCAAGAGCTTGGTTTGGTCGGTTATGGTGAGCTCGAAACCATGGAGACTTTGCTTGGTTCGCCATGTTTCGTTGGTTGCTGGTCGCTCGCTTGAGATTTGTTTGGATCATGTCTTTTTTGAGGTTGTAGCCCTGAATCGTGAGCTCGTCAGAATTTGCTCAGCTCGTATGCGCCGCCCCTTTGAAACGACCCCGAAAACGGGTGTTCTTAGAAAGAAAGACAGAATCATTGCATGAACAGTCATGGCCAGTCTTCACAAGACAACTGCCTCGCGCGGTGCTTCGTGCCTCAAAAACAAACACGCTGCCGACGCGCCTCCTTGTTCAGCGTGTCGCTGAACAGCAGCGCTACGTCCGGAAGATCCCGCCCTCGGAGGCTCGCGAATTTCCAATCGGAGTGCGTCCTCAAAAGGGGCCGGGGGGGGGACGCAATGTCCGAATATTTGATCTAATATCCTCAGTTTGCCCAAACCCACAAACTAAAAGGACAATGGATCACCTTTTGGGGCCATGGCTAAAAATGGGCCAACATGAGAAAACCAAAGGTCAAGAGGTCGGTTTTGGACCACTGAGTATCCCAAGGCTTCACGTATCATGATAGGTGATCAGGGATTTTCCCTTCCGTACGGCATTATATTTTGGTAACATGCACTGGGAATATCAATGCTTACAAGTCAAGATGAGATGCATGTTGTGTCTTACTGAGAACACAGCAACACAAACTAGTTAAACTCAGCTTTTTGTAGGCCTTCGTTCTTGTTGGTGGGGTTAAGCACCAAACTACGAACCCCAATCCCCAGTAATGCACACTCAGGATGTATAACCCCGGGTTGGTTCATCGCTGGTCGGGGCATCCTTCACTTTTTCCGCCGGGGATCCTGTTGACCCTGGAGAAAAAACCCGTGCGTTTAGTTGGGGCTCGTACCCCTCCAAACGTGTTGAATCCAACCACTAAACCAGGGAGATCCCTCAATCAAAATCAGCCAGGCATTTTGATCCGGGGTTCCCATTAGCCAAGTTGATCTGGGCTCAGTCATGTAGCCTTGGACAGGATGCCCTGGACTTTTTCCTGTCAGCTCGAAACATGTGAGCTTGGTTTGTTTCCCTACTCAGCGCAAAAAGGCAAAGACCATTCCAGATGCTGTGTCGAGCCCACTCCTTTCTGTAAGGATCTTGTATGTTCAACCCTCATGTTGCGAGCATGGGGCTCACTTCCCGAGTAGATTGCCGCAAAAAGTCCGAACGTTTTATTTACCACTCAAAGGGTCCTCCCAAAAACAGATATAGAGCTCAAGAACTCAGAAAGTGAGATGCCGTGTTCAGCCAGATGCCGTGTTCAGCCCACTGCCTTCCATGGGAAGGGGGATCTTTTGCGCTCAACCCTTGTGTTGTAAGCCATTTGTAGCGTGGCTCCAGCCTGCTCCGTCCTAACCCATCGGCCGGTTTTCCGGGGCACGCGCTCGGGAAGCGCGAGGGGTACATGCGCACCTCAGCTTGGGCGTCGAGGCGAATGAGACGCCGCTGGGCGTGTCGTTCTTTAGAGTCGGTACCCCTTTGTCAGTGGTTTTCACGGGAAACCGCAAGGAAACAATCACAAAAAAGAACTGCTGTTTTGGGGGTCTCGCAAAACAAGTCACACCCCGGCAGTGGCAGAAACAGTGCCCTTTCCGGATGGTGGTTCAAAGAACACCTAAAGGAAGCCCTTGAACTCAATTCGCGTTGCCATCTTTGATCGTCAATAGCCTAAGATGATTGTATCTTTGATGATGTTGTGAGCCAACAAATGAAAGCGTTGTTGCGCACGCGTTTGTTTCAAAGTTGGGTTGGCTGAAAGGAAAGCGACAAGGAACACCATTTTGTATTTTGTGAGTCCCCTAACTTGCCACATACCCAAATTTGAAACCCGTTTTCTTCCTGGACACTTTGTTCAATGCCCATCTGAAAACAACGCATCAAGAAATGTGGCCATGGGTCAAAACCCCGGTTCTCCCCCAGTGAACATCCGATTCAATCCAACCACTAAAATATAGGTTCTAAGATGGGTGGTGCACCTACCCCAAAATCTTGGTTGCTTTCTGCTCCCCTGCTAAAAGTTTGACTCTTAGTGGTCTAATACGGAAAACCCATTACTTGGCAAAAAGTTAAAGTCCTAAAATCCCTTGGCAAAATGCACCAAAGAAATGGGATCCCATTGGTGTTGACCCACGGCCATGCAAAGACTTTTTGAAGCCGATGGTTGGAGTCGCTCGAGCAGCCCCGGGCTTCGGGCCAACAAAGCCGGGCACAAGTTGCGGTTTTGCTTCTCCCGGTTTGCAGCGGGTTGCACCTTTTCAACGCCTTGCTACATAGAAATATCATAAAACGGGGCATGGTTGACGTTGGAAAGGGAGCAACAAATAAAGTTTTAGCAGTTAAGTGGCGATTTCCCACTAAACCACAATAAGCAACATGTAAAATGTGTCCCAACGACAACCATAAAAGCCCCTGTTGTCCCTCTTTGAATAACACGTCACCAAAAATAATTCCACTTCGGGTTGGCACAAATAATGATATGCAAAACCATGAAAGGGGGGAACGTTGAACATTTTATGCAGCAAAGTAGAACAAACACATTGAAATTCATAGGAATCGCATGTCATCTTGCCGAACCAGTTTGTGTCTTAAAGGGTCATTTGGCCTCATTTGAAAAAGACAGTTCCTGAACTAGTTCTTCCCCAAATCCATCAAGCCCAGCCATGTTTCCCAGTGTGTTTGGTCATCCCCTTTACCTACCGACATAATCGGAATTGTGAAAACACATGCGCCCCACACGACAGGCCCTTCAACATCCCTGATCGCACAGGGTCGCAGAATCTGACTGGATTTGACTGCCTGGCGATAGTCGGGCAAGTCTGAGTGACTTAGAACTCACCAGCCTAAATCAGAGGTCCCCATGAAAGCAACCTGCATCATGTCTGGTGAGATCTTCCAGCCGCACATATCTTGCTAAACCGGCAACTCGTTGGTGCAACCGAAATGCCCGACACGAAACAAGCTGAACAGCTCGGATTTGGGGCGCTTCTCCAAATAGTGGTCCCTAGATGTGTCAATCGCTTTATTTCGGTTGCATTCAAACACCAGCAACAGAGTTGGTTCACCATCTCGATACAGCCACATGAGGAACAAAGGGATCCTTGGACTGCAAAGCAAGGCTTAGCGCTGCACCATGAGCACACTCTTCGTCTTCACGAAGAGGATCTGAGACATCAACGTGGGGAGGGGGCAGGCACTAAAAGATGGGCCAAACCTTCAACATTCCCTTAGACGTGGGTTGTTGCCCCAAACTTATGTGGGTTTTCTACCATTCCTTATGGGCAGGTTGAGGGTTTAGGTCTGTGTCAAGAAAGGGGAGATGAGGAAAGCAACGGCACACGCCTGCAAATTAATGTTGACCCCATATTAATCAACCCCAGTTTATTGATAAGGAGGTTGCTGCCCCTCCAACAGTGCTGATTCCCCGCCAAACCCAGGAACAAACTGGCCAGATGAATATGGGGTCAGCAGCATGGAACCCAAAAGTAGATCCGCAGAAAGGAACCCCCTCCGATACTGCCTAGATAACTCCTTCAAAGGTCGCCCAAAAACAAGATGCTTGACGACTGACTCACCAAACACGCGAGCTCATCAAACGAGCTGAGCTCAACCCCCAAAAAAGGGGCCCTGTTCTGACACATTCGCAAGTGGCCACTGCAATTTCCATGGTGCATGGCTGAAACCAACAAAAGTTAATTTCTGTGAGCCAATGCGCATGTACGGCTGAAATACGGACCGACCTTCTCTACGTTGCACTTTGTTTCCTGAGGTATCACAGATCCCATGTCTATCTCTAGCCAACAAACAGTCACAAAGTACCATGACTGACTACAAGCAGAAGCTTTCTCTGCCATGTAACTAGGCTGCCAGAAAACATGAATCTGCCACTAAGCTGCCAGAAGCCCATGTATTGCAGCATGTTCACAAGGTGGTGTCGCGCATGAATTGCACCAGCTTTGTGTTGTGTTCGTCGGAGTGCGCCATGTGATAACAATTAATACTCAGTTGTTCAGTGACCCTGGAAAAAAAAGGGAACCCTTTTTTGGGAAGGCAATTTTAGTGGGGCAGCCACCAAAAAAAGGGGGAAAAAGGGAGCCACTGAACAACTGAAAATAAATCGATGTTTGAACAAAACAATCGTCCTCAACGAAGAGCAAGAAGTCACTTGGGTCACTCATGACGAATCTCCGGACCTGCTCCATGTACTGATCCCAAATCATCGAGAAGCCGTTGTACACAAAGCTCACGCCACTCATGATTGCCAGGCATGCCCAATGCGTTGATATTGAAGGCAAGCGCACCCAAGAGAAGTCATAAAGCACGTGAGCGTGCACTGGGCTTCTTCTGTTTCACTGCCTTTGAGAAACCGGGCAAGCTCACTCACCTGGATAACTCGGTTGCGAAATCTGCGAACCCCTGCTAACAGTCAAAACTTTTTTAGTGGTTTAATACGGAAAACCCAGTAGTTAGCAAAAAGTTAAAAAGTCCGAACACACCTGGGCAGCAAAAATCCACCAAAGATAAGGTGGCTAAAAGGGCTGTGGCTGCTAAGGGCCTTTGGCGCAAAGGGAAGTTGCGGCTAACAACAGCCACTCGGTCAAAAGGGAAGGACTGGGTCGTGGCAGCAAAGGCACTTTGCGCACTGGGTACGGGGCACCTGTTTCTCGAGCGGATGTTCCCCGTCTCTTGGGGGGCAGTGCATCACTGGCTCATAGAGCAAGACACCTAGAAGCATGTCTACTCAATTTCTCGAAGCTGGAAACAAATGCAAATCGCACCAGGAGTTCTGCGTCTTCAGGTCTCCATGCGGGTTCCCCCATAAAACCCCACCTCAAAATGGTGGCTTCCTGTTGGTCAAACGCATCTTGTGAGTCACAATCAAAACTTGGCGTTTTTATGGTTGACCCTGTGTCAGGAAAGACAAAAAAGCGGCGGCCGCTGTTTCTGGCAGGGGTTCTGTCCCGTACTAACCTCCATCTACCTGGGTTTTGATTGTGGCTTATTCGCAGCGCCTCGAAGCCTTCACGGATCACCCGAACCTCAGCCGTCGTGGGACTTCCATTTGGGCCAACGAGGGACTTACCGATATACCTTGTGGTTCCCCCAAACTTCCTCCATGTTCCCGCCTTTCTGGTGAACAGGGTATGGCTATCTTTCTTTACAAATCTGAAAAGGAAAAAAAAACATGTAAAGAGAGGTAACAGCAGGTAACAAATCCAGACTTAGCCAGGCAAACTACAAGCTGAACCAAGGAATTTACGAGGGAACAGACCATGGGTCAGCTCCTCTTACCCTTTCATCCCAGGATCGGTGAGCTCGCTATTCGTCCGGGCAATGTCCAGCATGGTAATCTCTCCTACCACTAGGGAGATAAATATCCAAAGAAACCTTAAACTTCCCCCCTCTCAAAGGAGACTCACTTCATCTCTCTTTTGATTGATCCACCAAAACGGGAAATATGAAAGCCCTGCTCAAGGTGCCACGGAGGGACCCTGCTCTTCCGCAATCGATGGCTGTCTCTCCTGCGTGATATATTTCTGTTCCTTGCGCTAGCTTTCCGCTCAGAACAATCCTGAGCCTTTGACATGTTTTGGGCAAACCAGACACCTTTGGCTGGCAAAAGCCCCAACCTCAAATGGGAAATGCACCACTTCTGGAAGCCTTTGAATGCGTGAGAAAGGGAACCAAAGGACTCATTGCACCTTTGTGGGGGCTCCAACTCACTTCCGACCAAGTGGATTGGCCAAAAAAGGTCTGAACTTCTTATTTGCCACTCAAATGGCAACCAGACCCAAAACGTGACTCCTGTCCGAGTTTGGGAACTCCTGACGCGAGCCGATCTCCTCACCGAGCGACCACGAAAAACCGCTCCAAAGGCGGCCCAGGCCTCGCCCTGCCAGGTGAAGGTCCTGCGCTTGTACCTGAGAGCTCCCGGACCCCGGGGATCGAAATCGAAATCGCGCGCCGCCTCGTCGAGCTGGATATGGATATGTGTCTTTTTTGGGCTTGGCCTCGAGGCTTTGGCACAGCCCCAGTTGGCTTTTGAATTGAAGGGGGGGTGATTTTGAGGCGAAAACCATGTGGCGTGGCTTGCCCGGCATTTACCCGAAGCAGCGGAATCGGTCATTTTGAACATCCACCCTCGATTTTGGCACGCACGCGCACGCACATGTTCTGAAGGAGCGCCCTTTTCCTCCCTCGTGCCAGATCTTGGCATCCTCTTGCGCTTCGCGGCGTTCTTCGCCGAAGCGGTGACACCCCGAGGCTTGGCTTCAAATGGCCCATCGTCCATGTGCTGAAAGCGACGTATGGAGGTTTCACCCTTTTGGGTTGAGAACCGTCCAACTTGTTCAGTTAAACAAGAGACCCAGCTTTGGGCCACTGTGCCAGAACTGACACCCCATGAAACAACAGCAACTGAGTTTGGGTGGTAAGGGAAAGCACACCCGGTTTGAGAACCCTTCAACTTGTTCACTTTGAGTTAAGCAAGAGACCCAAATTTGGGCCATGGGTCACTGTCCCAGAACTCGCACCACATCGCCCATGCAGGTTTGGTTCTACGAACATGCTTAGAAAGGTTTCTAAGGGCCTTCCAACAACCCCCCACCCCCCGCATGAAACTAGAAATAGCGCAAAGGAAGTGGCCTCTGTTCAATTAAAAATACCTCCCGGACTCTGGGTCGTCCTTTTTCAGAGTTGGATTTGTTCTTTGGTTGATGTTACAGGGAAACTAAAAGGAACACCACTTTTTTGGTGGGTCCAACCAAAACAAAAATCGACCCAACCCAAATAACTTCAGCAAATGGATCTGTCACACTCGCAATAAGCCCCGCCCATGATCCATTGGCGCTGGGGCAAAAAAACAGTTCGAGAGATGCCGGCTTGGACGCTGACTTAGCGCTGGGGCAAAGGCCCTGCCGCCTCTAAGCAATCGAACAAAAGCCACCTGGCTGTTCGTACGCAGCCATCCTTCCAAGCGTTGCCAGCACCAGTTAGCACTTAGGGAATCCAAACCCCGGCCCTAAAACTGGAGCCTTGCGCAATAAGGTGCCTTGCCGTAACAATAGAAACTGGATACACAGGATAATATGGGCCCTATGTGTGTTTTGCTTTTCTTGTTCGGGGGGGGGACTCTTCTTGGCTGATTGTAAGGGAATCCGATATGGACACCACCATTGCTCATTGTCTTAGTTTATATGTATTCATTTTTTTGGGGGTGCCGGAAGGGGCCCTAAGAAAGCACACCCATACCCATATGCTGCTTCACATTTGCAACCTCAACAAACTCATACAGTTCCACCACAACAATGGCACTGACGCTTGAAAAACAACAAGAACTAATCATCACCAACACGTACCCTTCCTCCGACTGATATGCCGTGGATGGACAAAATTCTACACCGCCTAAGAAACCCATTCCCGTGTAAATACCGACCAACAATGGCTTTCCAGGTTTTTTTTTTTAGGTGGTGCACATTTCGTCCATCCACAGTCAGATTTGCGGGAAGGCACCTGGAAGATCACTTTCCACTTCAAGGGACCCTCTGTGATTTGCCATGGCTACCTGCAGTGGAGGCACAAGATGTGCAGCACACGAACCATCCTGCTTCAAACACCGTTTCAACTTGAAGAACGTGCCACGCTGAAAGGAACATGCGCCAGGGTGGAACCTCCAGTACCCGCTTCGGGTTGCATGGTTCAGTTGGATAGACCTATAGGCTTCTTTGATAGCTTTACTGTGTTGAACGTGCTACGCGTCAAAGCCCGGCATGCTGCACGCAAATCCTACATGCCGTGCCTTGGGCATGGCGAGATAGCACAGGGCACCTCAGAAAGCTCTACAATTCGAACCATTTCGGAAATGGCTCGGAAATGGCTCCGTGGGATCTGAGCAATTCCTTCAATTCACAAGCCGGAACTAAGTAATACCGCACATCAAAGTACCTTCATGGATAAAGTCGCAAACCCGCAGAGCGCGGGGTCGTGAGTAAAAAGGGCTGACCGGGGATGCGGGAGACCTTGTCGATGAGCCAAGCATGGGCGTGGTTGACGGTATAATGTAGGGTCAAAGGAACAACCCTTTAAACATTCAAAGCACAATGGGTGGTCACCTTTTGTGATAACTGGGATCCAGCAGGAAAGCCTGTTTGGACGCGGGAAGGAACTGGGCCCTCTCTCTTGCGCGCTCTCTCTCTCTCTCTCTCTGTCTGTCGCTCTCTCTCTCTCTGTCTCTCTCTCTCTCTCTCTCTCTCTGTCTGTCTCTCTCTCTCTCTCTGTCTCTGTCTCTCTCTCTCTCTCTATGACCTATCTTGCTTCATGTCTTCATGTTCACATTTTCATTCTGGTCTAATTCCTCCCTCGCTTCACTCGTTCTTTCATTATCCCATCCTGGTTGTTACCATTGTGACCCAACAGATGAACTCCTAGAGACAGAGCATAGTGGAGGAACGGTCAGGAGTTAAGATGGAAGGGCATGCCGCTATCTGTCCTCGTCCCCTCTGCCATAGCGTCCTGACGCTACATCTCTTTCCCCGGCTTTTAGAGACAGATGTAGCCGGGTTAATGAACGAACGAAGAGAGTGGGGAAAGAGATGTCACTCACCCATTTCCCCGCTGCTTTCGCTCACGTTTGACTTGTCAATGGGTGAGCACACATGATGAAGAGCGAGCCCGTCCCTTTCTCTTCTCTGTTCCTCTTTTCCTATGCCTTTCCCTTCTGCTGTTCTCGTCAACTCTCGATCTCTCGGGAAATGCATTAGATAGGAGAGATAGAGAACAGGGGCGCAAAAGTTTGGAGTCGCCCCGAGCCTTTGGATTCAGCACAAACAAAACGCTTGGGTCTTTCTTTCAACAAGGGGAGGTTGCAACCCAACTAATCAACGCGCGCGTCGTTTTTGCTGGTTCCTTGTGAAGTAGCCTTGGATTGGGGGCTCCAAAAGCAGAACCAACGCAGAAAAAGGCAACGTTGAGTCCTTTCAGGACATGGGGGCCTGGATGTTGGGGTTCAGTGGGGCCTAGACCCTGGGGTTCAGTTGCCACCATTTCGTTGACAGAATCACCATTGTTTACCTGAAGATTGTCATCATCCAAATTGGGTCCTTGCCATTTTCTAGTGGGTAATGAACCCTATCGTAGACTTTGGAGAACATTACGTGCCCCCCCGGCATTGCCGAACTGAAAGCTGGGATTTGTCTCGAAAAAGGTGGGGATTTGGGTCCCACCACTTCAGTTGCCTAAACATCCCAGTAATAAAAAGAAAAGGTCGATTCACTTTGGGCAATCATCTTTTTGGGGCAATATTGAAATTCATGGCCATCTCATCAACGAAAACGGCTGCTATGCAGTTTTTCAGGGGTTGGTGACGGCAATTGCCTGTGCAGAGTCGCCTACTTGTTTCTCGTGTACTGACTTCCTGAGTGGACTGGCAAAAGACAGTCTGAACTTTTGTATTTACCACTAGAATGGTCTATCCAAACAGTTTAAAGTCCATGAACTCAGGGAGTGAGTTCAGTCGCCAAGAAGCGAATCTGGGCAACGGCCGATTCTCAGTGAGGTGTGCCATGCCGGTAAAGATGCGGAGAGACGCGCCGAGACCTTCAGAACTCTGCGTCGCCTTCTGCCCGCGTGCTCACCTCTGCCAAAACCGGGTTCCGGTTGCCCACATGGCTGTGGGTCAAACATACAGTGGATGGACTATATCCTGGGAAACCTGTATTTGTTGGTATTTACAGGGGAATCATCAGAAACCAGGGTTTGTTAGGTGGTGCAGGATTTCGTCCATCCGCAGTAGGTGCCCAAAATGGAATCGCGGCAAGTAGAAGTGTACTAAAACCTGCGGTTTTTTTCGGTGGTTTAACTTTGACCCATACCTATACTTGCTCTTTGAACATTGCCTCGCACAAAGGAAGCTCGGCAAAACGGTGATGCTTAAAACTTAAACCACCAGAAGGGGAAATCTTGGCAGATTCCTCCAGAGCTCACCTAAAACGACTGCCGGAACAGGTTTGAGTTGGGACGATGTCAGAGGTCCCTTTGGCAGCCCCAGGAAGGGAACCTGACAAACGACGCGCTCAAGTCGGCTGCGAAATCTGCGAAGCCCTGCGAAAAGTTGAAAACTTTTAGTGGTTTAGTACGGAAAACCAATTCATTGGTTGGATCAAAAAGTGATTCAGTCCTAACAGCCCTGGGCAAAATGCACCAAGTCAACATTCGGGTGAAACGATGATACTTCAGAAATAGAACATGGCCCCAAGAAAGGAGCTTTCAGATTTTCCTTGGAATGGGATGGATGCCGCTTTTCATGAGCCATTCGGAGCACCCGTGTACGGCGAGTCGAACATGACACTCTTGTGCGACACCTATGAAAAGCCTATGCAGAACCAGGTAAGCAACCCACAGAAAAACAAACAACTGACCAAAACCATGCTGGCTTGCTTTTGGTCTCCATTTGCTTCCTGGTGCTTTATGGTTTGCTTCAGCAGCTGCCCGAAAGAGGTACTCAGGCTAGGCACAATCCCACTTGCTGCATGCAATCTGAGGAAGCACAAGGAAGGGCCAAAGATCGACGGCAAGTGAGGGTTCAGTCACTGACAAGCTGTTATTTGACCCTCAAAAAAGACACACCCAAATTGCTCCTGCCCCATCCCTTGGTCTATGTTCGTGCTCCCCAAGGGTCACGGTGTGCTTAGGGGGGGTGGGGGGGTGAATCTTAAGTGCAATGCGTGGCATTTCTGTGCTGCTACAATGGACGCTAGCGGGCGGTTCCCCTCGTGCAGGAGTTCCAAAATTAGACTTCTTGATCCTGAGTTAACATTATAACCTGCCTCTCATCACAAAGTCCAACTTGGATGTTCAACCAGCTTGGTAGGTTCGTCATAACCATGTTATAAGAGGACTACCCCAGTTGCCCACGTTTTTACCACGGTTGTAACCTACTTACCTGGCGTTGGCCGAACATCCAAGAAACAATATTTTTGGGGTACCTTCCCCATTCTTTCCAGGGTTTCTTCTTTCTAAAAAGCAACCAAACTCCCTAGGGAAACAGCTGGTTTTTGAGAAGAACGATGGTTGAAAAGAATGGGGAATCAACCCCGAGAATAGTGGCTTTCCTGGACTCCACTGATGGCACGCCCCTTCACTCCCGCCACCTTCGCTGCTTTTCAGTCGCGCCAGGGCTACTCCTACGATTCCTTGCCAGATGCAACCCCCAGAAATCAACCCCCAGAAATGTGCTGACTTTCTCCATGGCCCCCCGTCCCAGCCTGGCTCACTTCAATGCCCCCCTCCTGGTCCGAAGAAGAGATGATGCACGGTACAATGCCCGGCGGGGCCAGCTGGTGCTTTCAAAAGGACCATCCTCAAGTTGGGGGAGGGAAATATATGGGATATGGGTGCGTCTTTCTTTAGGATCCCCCAACCTGGTGGTTCTTCCTACTGGTTTACCATTCAAACCACAACAAATGCGGATCCTAAACATTTATCTCAATTTACCGAACTTCTTTTTTTGGCGCCGACACGCGACACGCGCCCCTTCTAGCTGTTGTCCTGCAGAATGTGTAGCCCAACTTGTCTGAGGCAAAGCTTCACCCAGCCTGTCGACCCTACACGGATACATAGTGTATATATATATATATAGATATACATGTCATGATATACATCTTTCTCTCTATATGTAAATGTCTGTGTATATAAATATATATATATATATACGCATGTGCTACCGCCGGCTTGTTGACCAAGTCGAGGTTGGCTGGTGAGAAGCGACACACACACACATGTGCCCCAAAGGTAAAAGCAAACAAGAACAGCTTTGAACAAGGTCCAAGCGGCGAGTCAGACACAGCAAGGCCCGCCATGTGCAGCGAACCAATTCTCCGAAGCAGGACTCCAGGAGCCCAGGCCACTTTAGCATTGAATATTAACCATCTGTAGTTCCAGATCGTTTGCGTGCTTGCACACTCCAAAAAACAAGCATGAGCACGCACAGCCAAATCCCATCTGAAAGGAACATAGCATTCAAAGAAGCATGTCTGGGTTCAGGGCCATACCCCACAATGGTTGTCTAAAAGCTGATTGCTTTCTTCAAGTAAAAGGATGGCTCCCGCGCCTCTCTTCATTCAGCTGCCTGCGAGCTTTTTCCTGTCGGCTCTGGACAGACAAGCAAGGTGTGTCTGAAAGCCAGCCAAGCTCGAAATGGATGGGTTCTCTTTGAGCTTCCGTGCCAAGTGTGGAACGGGTATCCTCGAACCAAAACACGCCCATGTGACTAACCAAATACATCAAGCAAACTAGCAAGCAGCTTCGCATAAGAATGCGGTCGGTGCATGCGTGCGTGCGTGCACATATGTTGCCTACAGAGTTTCCACACAACACCTCCGTAACATGTTCCAATCGATTCAGCACGAAGTAAAAGTATGCTTCCGCAGTGCTCCAGCTCGAAAATGGCAACTTTACAGTACAAGTCTAGTACGCGAAGTACACTGCCGCCGCTCCGGCGCGAAATTCGCAACGTTGTCTACCTTTAGAAACTCGAAGTATATGCTTCCACAACTGCAGCTCGGAAATCGCAATTTTTCAGTACAAGTCTAGCACGCGAAGTACGCTTCCGCGGCTCCAGCTCGAAATTCGCACTATTGGAGTAGGAATGTAGTACGAAGCACAATTTGAAACTTTGGTAGCTTCAGCTTGAACATCGCAACTGAGTGTTGTCAGATTTTGATTTTAACCTTATCACATTGCCATGTGCCCCTTTTGGAAAATAGGTGGCCCTTGTAAACCATGAAGCAACCAGACCAACCAGGGCCATTATATTTTTACCGAAAGTACCGCACCTCTGATCATCTGTGAATCTGCCTCAACTGGCTTAGCACAAAGGTTCTGCTTCTCTTTCAGGGGATCCACCCAAAATGGCTTAACAGTTTTGCTTCTCGGCTTCCCTTCTTAAAACAAGCGAGAAACAGAAGGTGTTCCTTTTGGTTTTCATTTAAAACCAGCCAAAAACGAGGGTTGCCCCAAAAAAGCACACACACAACACACAAACACACAAAACAAACACAAAACACACACAAACACACACACACACAAACACACACACACAAACACACACACAACACACACACACACAACACACAAACACACAGACACAAACACAAAAACACACAAACACACACACACACACACAAAAACACACAAAAAAACGAAAGCACACAAACACACACACAAAAAACACACAAAAGCACACAAACACAAACACACACACAAAAAAAACACACAAACAAACACACACACACACAAACACACACACAAACACAAACACACACACACACACAAACACACACACACACACAAAACACACACACACAAAAAAACACACACAAAAACACACAAACACAAACACACACACACACACACACACACACACACACACACACACACACACACACACACACACACACACACACACACACACACACACACACACACACACACACACACACACACACACACACACACACACACACACACACACACACACACACACACACACACACACACACACACACACACACACACACACACACACACACACAAACACACACACACACACACACAAAAACAAACACAAACACAAACACAACCACAAACACAAACACAAACAAACACACACACACACACTTACACACACAAACACGCACAAACACACACACACACAGACACACACACACACACACACAGACACACACAGACACACACACACAGACACACACAGACACACACACACACACACACGCACGCACGCACGCACGCACAAACAAACAATCAAACAAACAATCAAACAAACAATCAAACAAACAAACAGACAAACAGACAAACAGACAAACAGACAAACAGACAAACAGACAAACAGACAAACAAACAAACAAACAACCAAACAAACACAAACAAACAAACAAACAAACAAACAAACAAACAAACAAACAAACAAACAAACAAACAAACAAACAAACAAACAAACAAACAAACAAACAAACAAACAAACAAACAAACAAACAAACAAACAACACACAACACACAAACACAAACAAACACACACACACTTACACACACAAACACACACACACAAACACAACACACACACAACACACACACAACACACAACACACAACACACAAATACACAACACACAACACACAACACACAACACACAACACACAACACACAACACACAACACACACATACACCATACACCAAAGAAACAAGGGGGTTCCTCCAAAAAAAACACACCGCCACACTAGGATGCGGCACAAAGCACCCAAAAACCCCCGCCTGTGCCAGGCGCGGGGTCTTGGAGGTGCGCTGGGCCCTGGCGTCCTCGTCCGGCTCCGGGCGCACCTCCCAAAACGGCCAGCGAGGCCGAGGCCGAGGAGCCGAGGGCGGCCAGGGCGAGTGAAACCGAAAAAAAAAACCGAATCCAAAGTAGCACGGGAAAAGGGCACCTAGCTGGGGGACCTAGCAGTGCTCGGTTGCGAAATCTGCTGTGCTAAAAGTCTAGCCTTTAGTGGTTTCATTCAATACCAATTAGTTTGCAAACACTTCCACAGGGATCCTCATATTATACACCTGAACATTGCCTTGATTTGCCTTGTAAATGCTGGTTTCCCTTTGTGGTGGAAAAAAGCAGCATGTTTCAAATGGTTCTAGCTTCCCTCTTGTGGTTCTTAGGGATTGGTGGTTTTGTCTTTGTTGAGGGTACCCTTGTTGGGCAGGTTTGAAGGGAAACCAAAAGGACCACCACCATTTGAGGTCATATCTTCCTCCGCATTGGCGGCCATTGGCGGTTTGGTGGTGAAACGGAGGGGGGTTCACATTGGACTCTCTACAAGAACTAGGGGCATCCAAATCCAAACCAATCCAAAGCAGCAATTGAGGGTGACCTGAGAAAGCAAACTCATCCATTTCTCTTCCCACACCAAAATCCCAAAATACCAAAACAAAAGCGAAGAAACCAGAATCAGCTCCCCTTTTCCTGGTGGCTTGGTGCTGAACCGGCAGGGGTTCCGATGTGACTCTCTACAAGAACCAGGGAAAAAATCCCCGAACCGCCAATCCAAACCAGCAATTAAGTGTGACCGTCTTGCCCCCCCAATATCCCAAATCAAACACAAAAGAAGAAACAAACAAGCGAGAGTCCAGGCAAGTTGCAAGGCTCACTGCTCACATCCCCTTGGTTTCTTAGATGATAATCCTACGTCAAGGTTCAAGTAAACCTTGACACAATTCTCTGTTGACACGTTTACCTTGCTGGACACACAATGGCAATGATTGAAGTAACCCCACAGTAACCAAGAGATTCCAAGAGATTCCAAGAGATTTCAAGAGATTCCAAGAGATTCCAAGAGATTCCAAGATAGAAGTCATCCAAGAGATTCCAAGTGACACAGTAACCCCACAAGTGGACACATCCTCATTTCAATCTCCGGGGTTGGTTCAAGCGAAGCCAAAGGAATTCGAAATCAATCCGTGGTAGAAAACGAGTCGCTTCTGGTTGCCCTGGAAATGAGAAGCCTTCAACGTGCGACTTCGAACGGCCCAGTTGGAGCTGCCAAGAACCAAATCCTCCTTTTGGTTTTCTGGGGGCGATAAACTTGAAACCAAGCAAGTCGCCAGTGATCGCGGATTTAAGTTGTGTACACTAGGTGGGAAATTCTTGTCCACCATACTGTGGACGGACAAAATCCATTTCGCACCACTGTGAAACCATGGGAAACCATTGTTTGTTGGTATTCATAGGCGAATCATCGTTCCAGGGTTTCTTAGGTGGTGCGAAATGGACTTCGTCCATCCACCATACCACTTTCAAGAATTTCCGTGTTCTTCATTTCTTCTTTTTGTTTCTCAGGGCCCCCAGCCTTGCTGGCGAAGCTAGAATCCGAACATTTCTCCTACCAACCGAAAGATGCTTGACACACACTTCCCAACGGGAATCCCCCTTTCCTTTCCTTTCGGTAAGCCACGTCCGCATGCGGTCAGCGGTCTGAATTCCCACATGCATAAAAGACAACTCCGAGATCAATCTTGGCCCTTGTACCAATCCCACCCCCTTCGGCCCTTCGGCTAACTCTTCTTGGGGTGGACTGCACTGTATGGACGATTCTCCTTCTGGTAGCCCTTTAACACCACAAAAGCAAAGGGTACCAATCTACCACGTCCATACAGGACTCCGATCGGTAGCTCCCTCCTTCCCCTATCGCACCAGCTCCTGAGAAATCGACGGACCCCCCCCCAACTGGCTTAACGGCTGTCCTTTTGGTTTCCCTTCAAAACCGTAGCAACAAAAAAAACCTTCAGGTGCCCACTCGAAATCGAAAAACCCTGAAGGTGCCCACCCGAAATCGGCACCAAATCAACCAATCGATCGAGTCAACTCGGACATCGGCGGAAAACCGTTCAGGCGACCACTCGAAATCAGCCGACACCACATCAATCGATCGATTCGAATCGGACATCGGCGGAACGGCCTTGAGGGCTTCATAAGGGCTTAGTTGGGCTCCCTCACCCTCCCACCCCAGCCCCCATGAAGACAAATCGATCGGAACGGCCTTGAGGTAGTAGAGGTGGTGCAGCTTGGCATCGCCCCCCTCTTGCGGATGCCGCTCCAAAGGATCCGGCGGCCTGCGGAGCGAACGAGCGGCCGAGCAAATGAGCGGCCGAGCGCATTTGGAGGAACTGGAGGGATGAGCCCTGCATCAAGTCGAAAAAAGGCCATAAACCCATTTGTTTTTGAAAACATGATTACATTCTCCATTTGGGGAGTGAGTCATGCCAAGCTCCAGATTCCGTCGGTCTGTGCCGAGAAACCTTTTAGGTGTGCCTCAAAAAAAACGGGAGAGCCTGGAGCCCGAAACATCCGTTTTTAAACAGTCGTAAGAACATCCATCATCAGTTCCGGTCGTTTGCTGCAGTTCCGGCCGTTTGGCCTGATCACCATTTTCTGTATTTTGTGTTGGGCATATCCTTTTCAGCCTCGATTGACTTGCATCTCTGCAAGACTGGCACCAACCCTGCCCGGCCAACCCGCAGGGTCTCAAGCGTGCCGCAGCAGACTGAAATGCACTGATCCCTTTGTTTTCTCTTCTAGGCTTTCTTGCAAAAGGGAAAGGCATGGAGAAGGGGGCTGCGCGAACTGCACACTTTCAAGACCCTTCGGTTCATAGGTGTACCGCCAGCATCAGCAGCATGTGGGGTCGACGAACATTGTTTATCACCCCAAAGCCCTGGCGAGAACACTATAGTTGAGCGGCTTTGGCAGTGGGTCAATCACTCTTCCCTCACGCACCCAATGGGTGTCTTTCAGGTGGTTTCCCAATCAAGCCTTTCCAATCTTTACAAAGGAGGCTTCTGCTGGTAAAAAGGAGTGGTCGCCCCAATGGCCCCATCCAAAAGCAACCGAAAACCCATCAATTCAGAAACAGTTGTTTGCACGGACAGTTCTGGTTGTTGCACGCACGGTTCTGGTTGTTGCACGCCTGGTTCTGGATGTTTCCTGGTTTTGTCCATCGCCAGTTTCGGCCCGAAAGCGGGTTTTCGGGCCGAAAACGAGCCGAAAACGGAAGACAACGGGCCGAAAACGGGCCGAAAAGCCGCCCCCCGAAAATCCAATGTTCCCCCCGCAAAAAAAAAAACAAAACGAGGAGTCCGGCCGCCCAAAAGCAGGCTTTTTTTGGGTGCCCTTTCTTGAGGAAGGTTCTAAACCAAGGCTAACACCATGAGTGGGCAGAAATTTGCGTCTGCGTCGTTTCTTGTTTTGCTGCTTGGTTCCATGGAGAAAGGGACAGGTCTGTAAAGCAAGCCAGGCGCACTGGGCAAAGGCTGTGAAGAACACACGCATGCAGCTACACTCACCATGCTCTGATCTGAAGTGTCATAACTGTACTTAGCAGTGGCTTCTCGATTCTAGATTGTGCGCATGAATGCTCACGGCCATTTCTGGTTCAGCCAACTGGAAAAATGGAAAGTAGACAGGCCTGGCAAAGTCAAGGCCGCGTAGGCTAGGGATTTCGAACCGGTTCCGGTCGTTTGCCTCAGAAGTGGTTTTTCGGCCCGCACCTGCTTTGAAACAGTCGTTCAAGGCCCCAGGAGTAACTGGAGTCACAAAGTCTCAAAGGTATTGAAACAAGTGATGATAATTTGTAGATGCAATTTAAAACCAAGGGGTATTTCATGAAAAACAATAAGTGGCATAGAATATATCATTCAGTATAATATGGATAGACTCCAACTCGGAGCCAGGGATTCTGGAGCTTGATGTCAGAAGATCCATATGGGTGGGTCCCGGGATCTTCACGTTTCTGTGCCAGGGTTGCTCCGAGTTCAAAGATAAACCAACTTGCTTGAGACTCGGAATCCCTAGATTCATTACCAAAACCATGGGGTTTTCCACAAACCCCCCCTGTAGTCATTTAAACTGACCCGGTTTGGCGTGGTGGACTTGGATTTGACTTGGGGGTTGGGGCAATTGAACTTGTCCTGCTGGTGCCAGGGATGCAGGGAATGAGAAATGGAATGACCCCGAGAAAATCGTCCCCTTGGGAATCCGGGGGGGGGGGCCTACTCTTGCTGATTCGATAGGCAGGGAATGTAATAAGCTGGAATGATCTCAGGGAGTGAGAAATGGAATGACCCCAAAAAAAAACCGTCCCCGATTTGGCTTTCTTCGAGGGAATCCTTAGGTTCATTGCCAACACCGTGGGTCATTCCCTAGTGAGCACCGGAGGGTCCCGGTCCCCCTGACCCAAACAAATAATCGGGGGGGGGGGGGGGTTGTTAGGGTATGGAGTTCTGGGGGGGGGGTTCAAGGAGCCCTGAGGCTCCCCTTGCCACCAAATGGATTCCATTGAAATTGGAGTGTCTTTCGAGGATAATGTTAACCCCGGATTAATAAACCCCTGGTTTTTTTAATAGGGGGGTGTCCCCTTTTAGTGGCCCCCCGAATAGTGGGACGGGTTTATTATATAATCCTGGGTCAACATTACCCTTTTTTGGGGTAGGAATGCCCAATCCTTCGGTCCCCTTCAGGAACCGATTTGCACATCACCAGCTCTCTAGGCCCTGATGTTCAAATTGAGGCCGGGCACACTCGCTCACCTTGTTGGCGTGCATACGATCAAAACCGGGGTAGCGCAAAGGTGCTTTCTTCGGGTAGTGGAAACAATGGGACATCCCCGTTCTGAAATATGCCAGTCTCAAATTGTTTTTCCCTTTAAACCAACCAAAAAGGTTTGCACTCAAACCAATATCCCCACACCTAGCTCAGCTGTTGCCCACAAAACAATACACGACCCCGGTGTCGGGAACTGTGTAGTGAAACCCAAGTCGAGAATTGGTGCAACGTAGGCTTGACACTGAGTGATTTGCAAAGTTACACTGGGGGGGCCCTGGTCTGATCTACAAATGTAGATTTCTCTAAACTGAGATGGATGTTTTGGGTTGGGCAAACGATGATCAAAGAGAATTGATCAACCCGAGCACTGTGCGAGGAAAAAAAAGGAACAAGCTCAGCCGCACAAACATGTCCAGCCCGCGAGCCTGCATCTTTCCCACCGCTTCTTGCCCATCATCTCCACCTCAAACCCACTTCTCAAGGGGAACACAGGGTGGACCGTCCAGAACGCTGCTAAAGAATGAACTGGGACACTTTAAAGGAGATGATTCAAGTCCCCTGCAAATGTTTTTACCCCCCAAATTTGCTCTTCACTTCTGGTTTTCCTGGAACACACCCAGGGCCCTCCCAAGCCTCAATCAAACCCCCCCCCTCCCTCCCCGGCTTTTCTTTTGGGGGGCCCCCCCCCCGCGCCTCATTCACACAGACTCGACGCGAACTTCTAACTCAAGGTGCTCAGCTCCCGGCCCAGCAGGTGTCACTCCGGTTGTCGGAGATCTGCATGCCCGCGTGCTGGCCTGGAGAGCGGAGCCGTGGTTTTTGCTTCTTTTCTCCGGATGCGAGGGAGCGGGACTGGGAGTTCGGTGCGTCGCAAAATCGGAATTGGACCCCTGTTGGTGTGTGTGTGTGTGTGTTGCTTTTTTTCCTGAAACACCAGCAGTTGGGAGATTTAAAGAGAAAAGCTGACCACGTGCTTTTAAGACAGGCATCGAAATGAATGCGCTCTGGACAATTTTCGAGGCGCCCTCTGGTGGAGTTTACTACGTATGACAATCTCTTGCTTTGTACAAACACTTTTTCAGTCATGTCTGCAGCAACATAATTGTCCTGTATGTGAAACAACATGCTCAACCAAGAAGGAATTCGCCAAATACAGCGGCAACATCAGGCAAGGTACGTTTCACGTTGATATAAGAAATTGTACCCAGTGGATCCATTTGCTTGTATAGTGGGTAACCAAGGGAACCAGGCGACATAAAAACTAAAAGGACAACGGCTGGTTACCTACTATAGTGGAAACTCGGATCTACCTGGACCCTCACTACCCATAAAATCTGGAATTCACCCCATATCTTTGAGACTTCTTGAGCAAAAACCCAATGTGTTCAGGGAATTTTGAGGGTTTAGGTTCTGGGGCATTCATGCTATCCCCCCACCGGGATCCAATGAGCATTCATCGAACAACCCATGCCGCTCGCCTGGCATCTCCCTGAGGCTGGTGAGATGCTGAAGCTGAAGCCGGGTGGCCTCGGCAACCAGCCGTCTCCTTGTGGATGCCTGGGGTGAGCTACTGTGGAGGGAAAAGCGAAATCCAATCCGCACCACGAAATGAAACCATGGTTGAAACCACTTGCTTGTTGGTATTTCCTTGGGAATCATTATCCCAGGGTTTCTTGGGTGGTGCAGGATTCTGTCCATCCACAGTACTTGTGGTATACCCCCAGACACTTAAACTTAACTTGCGCGCCCTTGACTTTTGAGGGTTCCCCTACTGTGCATAGACGAAAACCATCTCGAAACCGCTTGGATGCCATGGCTGAAATCATGAACGTTGGTATTTGTATTGCATGCAAGCCGACCGCAAACCATGGAACATTTTACAGGGGTTCCTTTGTTCCTTTTTTCGTTGGCATCCGCCGTAGCATGGTGAAATCACATAATTTCTTACCAAGTTGGACGGAGACAACAGGTTCACCCAGCGACACCCCCCGTACGAGAAAAAAAGGGCACCCAAGGGAATCTCCGTCGTTGATTTTGACTTCAAGCTAGCTGCCCTTTCTCTCATGGCACTTGTGAGGTACCTTGATGGGGTGCCTGTCAGGTGCCATGGGAGGGTATTCCTGCAAATTCACACGTAACTGCAAATAGGGCCAATTTCCGAAATAGGGGGCGTCCACCAGCTGAGACACTGCGAATTCAGAATGCGAATCAGCCCAACCCATCCATCCGGAAGTATATATGCCCTGGGGTTCAGTTACAACTCTCCAAAAACTGGCAGGGTTTATATTTTACCACCATTCTCTACCTATGGATTGTCATCCTCCCTAGACTCTCCATGACCCTTAAAAAATGGGGCCATTCCCCAAAAGAAAGGGGTCATGACCCCATTTTCTAAGGGTCATGGAGAGTCTAGGTCCAAATTGGGTCCCCTTGGGCCATTCTTTTGACGGTGGCGTTCGGAAGCAGATGGAACTTGGGTCTCCGGCCGCAGGCCGGGAGTGGAAGATGTGCTGCCATTGCCCTGCCTCCGAAATGAGGAGATAACCAGCGGCGAGCGGAGCTACAAATTGGCTTCCCTTGTCCCCGAAGAAAAACAAAAAGAATGGCAAGGAGGGGACCCAATTTGGATGATGACAATAAAGAACGGCAAAGGTCGCTTGAGTGTGGGGCTCATATCTACACCGCAAACCTGTTTATTTTTTTTGTCCTGACACCCTGGGGTTCAACCCCCATGAAAAGAATGGCAAGGACCCAATTTGGAGGATAACAATCCTGAACGGAACACAATGGTGGTGAAGTATGAACCCATTGATTGAATGCTGGCCTGCCTGAACCCCAGGGTTGTTGAGTGGCAATTACATAGTGTATACACATATATATAGTATATACACATATTTCTCCCCAGCTTGACATGGCATCCCAATATATCTTCTTGAATCATTAGGAACAGGACCTCCTTTTGGGAGAGCCTTGTTTGGGCTCCTTCCGGCAAAATCTGCAGGATAGCCAATCAATTCAAACAAGCAAAATCGAAGAACGTGGATCACTTGAAATGGTGCAAAGCAAACGCAAAAGCCGCAGGAAACTGTGCAAGTCTCAAAGAATGGTAGAGGGCACTTGAACTTAAAGAACATCCCCCATATGTTCACTTGTTTGGGTCCCACTTTCGTATGCCAAAATGAAAGGCCATCCATGTTTGCACCTAACACGGAAAATGTGTCAAACTAGGGGGTGACCCCTAAAACTTCCCTCCGAGGGAAAAAAACAACAACTTTAAACAGGTTATTCTCAACGTTCCCACAAAACCGACTATTTCTGTATCCCTCTGTCTTAAAGAACAAAGCGCACCCACACACACAGCCCGCAACGTACACACAAACACAAACAATACTTCCATTTGCTTAAATCCACCAGGAAACACCTATTTCCAGCAAGATAGATTCCCTTTCAAACAAACCAGCGAAAATAACAAACACATTCTTGAGCAACTGGAAGCACTTTGACAGGATGGTTTCGACCAGTTTCGACCAAAGCATTTCGACCATTCGCTGGCGCCTGAGCACCCTCACAGCCCTTGGCGCGTTCGAAGCCTTGAGTTGCGGGCAGGCTTGTGGAAGGGCGACGCCATTTGGACTGAGCCGGGGAGAAGGAAACCACCTCTTTGGTTCGCCCAGCGAGAACAACCGCGGGGCGGCTTCTAAAGTGCGAAAAAGGAACCCAGAGTTGGTAAGGGAAACACACACACACATCTCTTTGGCCGCACAGGGAACAGTAGGGGCCATATGTCTTGAGATTTGGACGAAAAGCATGTACAAGTAGCAGGAGACTCAGGACACTTGAAAGATGGGGCAAGTGATATTTGGGTGCGTCCTACATCAAGTAGAAACGCGATGTTTAGTTGATTAAGAAGACCGCTAGGAGGACACCAGTCTTGCTTGTCATATTTGACTGCCCCCAAGCACACGGAGGCACCGTGCAAAGGGGTGCTTGGTCTCCAATTTGGAGAAACCAGTTTTGGGGCCCTGGTGGTTGGCTTCAAGGAACCCAGAACTCTCAGTCACGAACCATAAATCTAGGGGTACCTTCCAATTCCATTCTTTCCAGGGATCCGAATCTTTTCAGGGAACCATCAAAAGTCCAGGGGAAACAGCCGGTTTTTGAAAAGAACAATGTTGAAAGAATGGGGAGTCAACCTTTACAATAAAAGAAACATGGGGGCACGTAAAGTAGCTCAAGTTAAGGTGGGAAAGGATGGCCCTCAGTGACTGACGAATTTGGCCAATCGAAAGCTGGAATGGTCGTGACGTCTCCAAGCATGGACCTGGAGTCTCCATGACCCTTTAAAAATGGGGTCATGAACCCATTATTTAGGGTAATGACCCCATTTCTTAAGGGTCATGGAGACTCCAGGGACATCGAAGCCGAGCTTCGGCCAAACTTTCGGCCGACCAACTCGATGTGCCGAGTCTCAACTACCTCCGGCTTTGAATTCCCGAAGTTTTTTTCGTGCGGTCCAGCTGAGCCCCTGTGGCTTCAGCCCCAAAAGAAACCAAAAAGCCAAAGCTGGCTGGCAAGGGAAAGCCAAAGGACGCCCCCAATTTGCTGGACAAACCAGCCCTGAAATAGGTTCAAGTCATGCTGCAATGCCCTTCTTTTTTGTCCACCGCCCTGCCGCACTTCCTGCGTGGATTGGCAAACGGTCCTCCCCCAAAAGTATCAAAGTCCAGCACCTCTTGTGTGTGCGGGTTACTCTGGCCCGGCCCAGGGCGTGACCACAGAAAGTATACAGTCCAGGAACTCAGGGAGTGACCTGCTACGTGTTCTGGTCATCGTTTCCTTCAAGAACCTTCTCATGTTAGGCTCGGAGCGACCCTGCAAAACGCAGAAAGTCCCCTCATTTTTGGACCAGGGTTCTCTAGCTTTCCCCGTAAAGCATCAACCCTAGGTGACACTCTCCAAAAAGGACAACCATGGAAAACCTGACGGTCGGATATGGGTCAAACTCAAACCGCCAGGGGACCGTCCTGGTTTTCGTTTTCCAGGGGCCCCATTTGGTTTGGTACCCATTTCTGCCCCACATGGGGAAGTGTTTGGTGTGTCTTGAGCCGGGCGCTGATCCGGACCAAGGTGCTGATGGGCGTATCGCGGATCGTAGCAGTCTTCATGGCGCCTGTGAATGGATGCCCCGGCCCACCCGGATGAATTTGGAACATCACGCAACCGACCCAAAGGGTCCTTTGGTACCTTCTAAGGAGGTACTGAACGACCCCTGTTTACCCCCCAAAAGCCATCCTCCTGAGGTACCAAGAAACCCTCTGGGCGAGAATCGAACTTCAAATCAATCCCATTGAGTCTCTTTCGGGCAAACCAATTTCCAAACCAAACCAGCAAACCAGGGCGGTTCTGCCTGTCGGGCACAACCTCGAGTAGAGAAAGGTCAGACAGGGACAACCAACCACACAAATTGGTGTGGATCTCCATCCATCCATCCATCCATCCATCCATCCATCCATCCATGAATCCATGAATCCATGAATCCATCAATCCATCCATGGTCAATCCATTTTTGGTGGAAGGATACCATATCCATTTCTATCAACCACCTTTTGGTTCTTTACCTAGTTTGTAGATCCCTTTATGGGTCTCAGGCGTTCCCATTTCGGCGCCTTGATGACGGTCGAAGCTGTGGTCGAAGGGAGTGCCTATCCTGGACTGGTACGCCTGCCGCGGCGAATCCCCCCGGCGAATCCGATACGTGCGGATGAGGCCACCTGTTCGGGGGCTCTGGCTGAAAGGAACACAACATTTTCGCTGTTGAGAAGTTGAGACCTGGGCTTCATACCTACCTGGAGTTTTCATGACCCTTTAAAAATGGGGTCATGAACCCATTATTTAGGGTAATGACCCCATATTTAAAGGGTCATGGAGACTCCAGGTACATAGATCCACAGCAAAAACTCAGATTCACTTACTGCCCGCAAGGGTTCAAACATTTCCGGGACCCTTCTCAAACATCCCCCGAGGGAAACCACCCCCATGAGAAGGCGCCAGTATCAATGCGCCAGAGTGCGCCTCGTTGTCCGGGGTGCAATTCCTCGCGATGTGGTCAAAGCTGGCCTGGCACTGCCGATGTCCCAAAACGGCTCGGCTTGGCCCTATGTCCCCTACCTGGAGTTGGCCAAGCCAGCGATAGTAATAGTTTATCATCACAGTCAGCCTCCAAATGCCAAAGATGAGGGGGAACACTGACACTTGACAAGCCCAGAAACAGAGCCAAACAGCAAAAACTGTGGATGGAAATGCGAAATCCGATTCGCACCACGAAATGAAACCATGCTTGAAACCAAAAGGTTTGTTGGTATTTACAGGGGAATCGTCATTCCAGGGATTCTTAGGTGGTGCGAAATGGATTTCGTCCATCCACGGTATGTCCCCTACCTGGGCCAGACTGATCTGACCCCATGAACAAAAGTGAGACCTGCTCCCCACTGATTTGGGGGAAGTGGAAACAATCTCGGACCATCGATCCTGAAACAAAACCCGCTCCAAAAAAGGAAGTTAAGCAGGTCTCCAAATCAGAAGCTGATCAACTTGGCGTTTTCCAGTCAGAAACGATCGCCACTTTTTGCAGGTTCCCTTTTGGGGAATGGCTCGGAGCCCAGAAAAGGTGTAAAACAGAAGGGTGCGCTGGTGAGTTCTGGCGATGATACATGACACCTCTGCTTGCAACGAGGGTGAACTACCGTGGAAGACCTAGGGCAGGAAACAGTGGTCACCTGCTATAATGTTGACCCTCGGATGAATAAGCTCCTGTTTATTAATATGGGGGGTGTTCCCGGGCTTTAGTGGGGCTGTATCACTTTTGCAGGGATTATCTGCTATAGTGGTAAAAGGAAGCACTGGGCCAAATCAAGTTGGCCAAGAAGCTGAGGTCTAGACTAGACCGCACAAACGCCAAACGCAAGAAGCGAAACAAACGAACTGGCAACAGATGTGCAACTCGGGGAAAAAAAAAGTCTGAAGACAGCAGACCCATCTGCAGAGAGACTTAGCGGTTTTTCGCATTGTAACACCCAACAACGGTACCAAGGAAGACATCACTTGGCTTCCGCATTGAACAAGTCTTCTGGGAATGATTGGGAGTCCAAAAGGTGGGTCAGGTGTTTCGGCTTTGCTTCGGACATGGGAAAAATAATGGGGAAGGTTCGCATCTGACGGTTGGCGTTCGGCTTCCTAGGAAAAGTTCCCTTTTGGTGTCGCCAAGGCATGCAACCGAACCTACATGGGTGGCGTCAACGTGGTTTCCCTGGAAAACTCTCCCAAAAAGTGGCTGTTGACACCTCTGCAAAAAAACTTTACTTTTTATGGGTCCAATGGAACACCCACTGTTTCCCAAAAAGTTGAAGTCCTAAGATCCAACCAAACAGCCAGAAAGAAAAGGGTATCCAGCCTCAAAACAGAAGTCCCCATTCTGTCGTCCGAATCTGCAGCAATCCTCGAATTGAATTACACACACCAAAAGTGCACGCCCAATCACGGCCTGGGGGGGAGGGAAGCCCAAACAAGCCCGTAAGGGCCGAAGAGTCAATGCTGACTTCTTCTCTCCCCACCCTCCCCACCCTCCCCACCCTCCCCACCCTCCCCACCCTCCCCACCCTCCCCACCCTCCCCACCCTCCCTGCCCCCATACCCCATGGCTGTAAGGCAGCGAACGTTGACCCAGCCACCCACCCACAGCTCCGAGCAAAAAAACACCCTCCACGCTCGGCGCTTTTCGCGCGCGGCTCGGCGCCTGCTTCCGCGTGAAGTAGCGGCGCCAGCCCTCCTCCGGGTGCTTCTTCTGGCCCCCGCGCAGGCCCAGCTGCCAATCCTTGGGTGGGAGGGAGGGGAGGAAGGGGGGGGCGGGTGGGGGTTGGGGGTTGGGGGTTGGGGGTTGGGGGTTGGGGGTTGGGGTGGGTCTGTGTTGGTGGGTGGGTGGGTGGGTGGGTGGGTGGGTGGGTGGGTGGGTGGGTGGGTGGGTGGGTGGGTGGGTGGGTGGGTGGGTGGGTGGGGGTGGGTGGGTGGGTGGGTGGGTGGGTGGGTGGGTGGTGGGTGGGTGGTGGGTGGGTGTGGGTGTGGGTGGGTGGGTGGGTGGGTGTGGGTGGGTGGGTGTGGGTGGTGGGTGGGTGTGGGTGGGTGTGGTGTGGGTGTGGGTGGGTGTGGGTGGGTGTGGGTGGGTGGGGTGGGTGTGGGTGGGTGTGGGTGGGTGTGGGTGGGTGTGGGTGGGTGTGGGTGGGTGTGGGTGGGTGTGGGTGGGTGTGGGTGGGTGTGGGTGGGTGTGGGTGGGTGTGGGTGGGTGTGGGTAGGTGTGGGTGCGTGCGTGCGTGCGTGCGTTTGTGCGTGTGTCGTCGAACTCTTCGGGTATCCTGAAATCAGGTTCGCTACATTCGGAAGCCCAAAGTTTCAAGCCATCTTTTAAAACGTCCACCTCTGACACAAACACTCGCAATATCTTCATGTCAAACGGGGTACCATGAATCCTCTCCCACCATGGTTTTGATTCACTGTCAATCTCTGGAAATCGAACTCGAAACCCATTCCTTTGGCAGGTGACATCGGAGTTCTGCTTTTCAGTAGGTGAAGACTGCCACTTGCTGATTGGCGATCAGTTGCAGTGGGGATCAGTTGAACCTCAGCATCCTGAAGGCCCTCAAAATCATTTCTCACTCAGGGACCCGTTGTCCATCTGTCTCCTTACCCACTCATTCCTGTCAGATTTGCGCCCGAAATGGTAGTTTTGCAGATTCTGGTCGGACACCGAGTTTGTTGCGGGCAAAGCCCCCACTTTCCTAACAGCCCTCCTCTTGAAGGTCTGGATTTATCCGATTCGAGTATTAATTGAAAAGTGCTGCTTCGCACAATTTGATTGGAACAGGACAACCAAAGCTGAACCTACCACAGTAGCTGAACAAAACAATGCTCCACCTAGGCACATGCTCACCACAACTTTGTCTTTCTGGGGGGTGAGAACCCGATTCTTTTCCGGTCCGCAAATCCACATTCCGTCATTTCCCTGAGTTCTGGCTTTCTGGAAAAAACACAGAACACAAGCAAGCTTTGGATTTCCCTCTGAAAACACCCCATGGGTAACGCTACCCAAAAAGACACACCCACATGCCCCAACATCTATCGAAGAAGTGGCAGGTTGAAGAGAAACCACGCCAACTTCTGACTTTGATAATTCCCAGAAACAGTCAAACAGATACTCACTTCCTGAGTGGATTGCCCAAAAACAAGACCAAACTTTTAATTTGACACTAAAATGGTCCAAAACCAAAAAGTGACTAAAGTCCATAAACCCAGGAAGTGAGCTCAGAATGGTATCTTCAAAGCTGGCAAACCGTCGTCTCCCAGCCAAGGTGCCACAGACTGCGTGTTCCCGGAACTTAGCCGGACCAGCCTGCGAAGGCTCGACCCCCAAAAAGAGCGCCACGCAGGCCCAAGTCGACTTCCGACCATTTGCGGATACGCCCCTGGAAATGAAACAGATAGTTCCGCTAGTCCCTTTACTCTTATATAGGCCAATCCCCCGAACTTCGGATCGATGAGTTTCGCAAAACCACGTGGTGCAAAAGAATCTGGGGCTACCTTCCAACCATTCTTTCCAGGGATTCGAATCTTTCTAGAAAACCTCCGGACACCCAGAGAAAAGGGCCAGCTTTTGGAAGGAACGATGGTTGAAAAGAATGGGGAATAAACCCCTAGAAAGAAGGACATCAAATGTAAGCCCAAAACCAGGAATTTTGTGAGTCCCTGCCATATCAACATTATAGACGGTACGGGATCTGTTTTTTGCAGCTCCCGTTTTGGGAATTGGACGGTTTAGCTGTCCTGCAGCCAGTGGGATCAATGCTGCCTGAAGGAGAACCGCAAATTGTATGGGGGTTGTCTTCTTTTAGGATATTGTAGAGTTTCCAAGGGACTTCATGTGAAATAACACCCATTTTGTGGGCCTGTGGGCTCCATCTTCGATTATGTAACCCGAACGGGTCCAAGTTGTTTGCAGCCACAATCAACACCTGGGTAGATGGAAGTTGATCAGACACTCACTTGCTGAGTGGATTGGCCAAAAAGAGTCCAATCTTTTTTGTTACCGCTAAAATCGGCCTTCCCAACAAGTGACTAAACTCCGAAACGGCACTCAGGGAGTGAGGGGAACCGTCTAAACCAGACACAATGTGCTGAAGAGCCCCTTGAGTTGCAAGGCTGTGATTTAAGATGCAGAGGACTCTCCCAAGTAGATGCCCTTTTAGGTCTGCTTTGCAAAGAAATCACCCCCATGTTTGATGTCCAACCACCCAGATGCCTAGTGGATTTCCATGGGAAAAAAAGGGGTCGGCATCCTTTTTTGGTGGGTTGACATTAAAGGGACACCCTTCCCAAAAAACAAGGGCGGAGTCCACTGGGCAACTGGGTCAAGTTCATATCCGGGTGGACTCTCCCAAGTGGATGCCCTTGCAGGTATGTATATTTGGCAGAGAAACCATCCCCATGTTTCATGTGCAACCTCAAGCCAGATGCCCAGTGGATTTCCATAGGAACAAAAAGGGATCGGCCTCCTTTTTTGGTTTTCAAGGGACACCCTTCCCAAAACAAGGAAACAAGGGTCAAGTTCATCTCCGGGAACTTCTTGGTGCGTGCGTCGCCTCGCTTCCAAACTTCAGCATCCAAGCTTCGGGGGTCTTCCGCCCCTTTGAGAAGCGAATCTCCCGCGAGCGGCGAGACGAGCGGGAAACCAGCGGCCTGCAAAGCATGTGGGCGGCGTTGGAGAAGTTGCTGTAGCGGCCGAAGGTGTCGCTACCTCACAGCAAACGCGTTTTCCATTTGCCTGGTTTCGGTATCCAACATAAGCTCGGTTGCGAAATCTGCTCCCCTGCTAACAGTTTAACTTTTAGTGGTTTAATACGGAAAACCCATGAGTTGGATCAAAAAGTGATTCAGTCCTAACATCCCTTGGCAAAATGCACCAAAGGGTGACTGGGATCTACGAACTCGGGGTCCCTGTAGGCTCGGATGCTAAGGGGCGAACCTACAGGCTCGGATCCATGTGCCTGTCCGACTCAAACCTGGTAACTAACAAAACCAGCCGATGGAAACACCAAAAGTAACGTGGATTGCAGGGTCGCCTACGAGAGGGGTAACTGGGATCAAAAAATCTCGGGGTCCCCGTGTGTTCCGACGCGAAAATGCGGGAAGCCCACAGCAAGGGTCCGGCCACTCGCCTTTCCGAAGCTTGGAAGTTCAACGTCGAGGAAGCAAGTTGTAGCCATGGGTATAACTTGGGTAACTGAGGTGCTCGTCCCCTTGTAACCGTGGGTATAAGTAGCCATTAACTTGGGTAACTGAGGTGATCGTCCCCATGGTTAGAACATGTTATAACCTACGTACTTGACGTCGGTTGAACATCGGCATGAAGAGATCTCGAGCTGCGGGTGTGCAATGCTGCCACAAAAAAAACATCTCCCCTCCCCCCAGAAAAAAACCTCAAGACTGGCGATGAGAAGATGTTTTTGGCTGGCAGTGAAGTTGATCGCCAACTGCATCAAGGCTCGGCTGCTTGTGTCTCGTTTGGGGAACCCCTTTTCTTTGGTGTGAAAGGAAGGCAACAAGGAGACCGTTGTCATGTTTGAGGGTGTCCCCCAAATCAGAACCGGTCATTGGAAAGCCATGCAATGGGCATCACAAACGTGGGCACGTCTTAACATGGTGCTGATCCCTGACTTGGATATGCTGAGGTGGGCAGCTGAAAAAGGATTCAAGAAGGCAGCATGCACATATGCTGGCGCGAAGCTGCTTTGCATATCTACACATAAACAAATAATAAAATGTGTGGGTGTGTGTTATTTCAGGCATTGGACCATGGTCAGGAGCCCTAGGAGTTTACATCCGTCAACAGCAATCTCTACAGCACCTCACTGACAGAATGAATGTTCAGTGGCTCCACGCGACACAAGGTTGATCATGCAAGCGCCGGTGTTGCTCAGCATTATTCTACAATGTGCATCTGGGCAGGGTACAATACAAACAACTAGCTCCACTCTCAAACAGCAACCATCGGTCATTCCATTTCCCCCACAAGCATTGCACCATTTGAGGTCTCTTTCAATGGAAATCTGAAAGTGCAACAATTGATTCTGCACATTTGACAATACATCCAAAGCTGAAAGAAGTGTTGAATTCCGAAGTAAAGAACCTACCTACATCATAGTTTGCCATAAAATAGGCAGATTGATCCAAAACCCAAAAGGCAAACCGAGGCAAATCTTGCCCAATGAAAAGGGGCGCCGGTCCTGCCCTTGCAACAAGAAACTCGGCATGCAACCAGGCCGTGTGAAATTCACAGGGCTGCCTGGATTTCCCCCTTCAACAGTTGCACTTCACTGGGGGGCTCCGTTGAAATTGACACTTTGGGAGGTTCCAAACAACCAAACCCTGCAAAACGGAACCCAGATACCGTGACTGGTGAGCTTGCTAGGAAAAACACGGTCAGTGGGAGCCATTTCTAGCGGGGAGCCACAAACGAAACAAGCTGGACAACGGGTGCTGAACTTGGGGCCACCGAACAAAAGCCGCGAAGATTTGGACCAAAGCAGCAAAGGACGGTAACTCAGTTGTTCAGTGACCCCGGAAAAAAAAGGGAACCCTTTTGAGGAAGACCATTTTTAGTTTTTGGCAGCCACAAAAAAAAGGAAAAAGAAAAAGGTGACACTGAACAACTGAGGTAACAAAGCAAATTGGTTTAAAGCCGCCGGGCCCTGCCAGTTTTTACACTTCCTTTCCTTTGGCGCCACCATGTCGACCTGACGACTGCCCTTTGAAACTAACACGCAACATGCCAGTGGATCCATTTCCCTGTTGCTAGCCGCAGCTTAACACCGAAAAGGGACATGGCGAATCCACCGGACATTTCTGCAAAAAAAACACATCCGCCATTCATCTCCCTATATAGTTGGTAACCACAGCTTAATCACCGGAAAAAATCTAAATCACAACCGCCATGGGGTGTTCAACTTTCAACGTGGCCCTGGGGTTTGGCGAAAATCACATCGCGAATCCCATGGCTCGATCTGGGCGAGCCCTGCCGCTGCCATAGGGGCCATCTGGATGGCCTGCTATGGTCAAGCTCCGCCTTCGTTTTGGCCCAGATCCCAGGTGGCAAGGAAAAATCCCACCAACAAAAAAACAACTACTCAGTGTGATCCCAGTTTCCAGTGGGTCCACTAAAACATCTCCACCAAACAAAAATCACTACTCAGTGTGATCCCAGTTACTAGTAGGTCCACCTAAAACATCTCCACCAAAAAAAACAACTACTCAGTGTGATCCCAGTTACCAGTAGGTCCACTAAAACATCTCCACCAAAAAAAACAACTACTCAGTGTGATCCCAGTTACCAGTAGGTCCACTAAAACATCTCCACCAAAAGAAACAACTACTCAGTGTGATCCCAGTTACCTGTAGGTCCACTAAAACATCTCCACCAAGCAAAAAAAACAACTACTCAGTGTGATCCCAGTTTCCAGTAGGTCCACTAAAACATCTCCACCAAACAAAAAAAACACTACTCAGTGTGATCCCAGTTACCAGTAGGTCTACTAAAACATCTCCACCAAAAAAAACAACTACTCAGTGTGATCCCAGTTACCAGTAGGTCCACTAAACAATCCCCACGCACAAAAACACTACTATTCAGTCGATCCCAGTTATCAGTATAGAAGGTATCACTTAGATTATTGTTAATTGTTGGCTTGTAATGAAAGACTGGATCCCTGCGTTACCTACAGTAAATGGATCGATCCACTGTTTCTTCAACCCAAAATCAAGGACCTCCATGGCTGTTGTGCCCTTGGTTTCCCAAAAATGCAATCTCCATTTCCTAGGTGCCCTGACAAGGCAGACCCAAATTGGGTACCAACAAAAAACATCTCGACATGTGCCCATGCTCAAACAAATCCTTGTGAAACGGTTGATTCGCAAAAAGGGGTACCCTCGAAAAGACAGCTCAACAACTTGCGGCCTCAAACTTCTGGTGCCCAGTTCCAAGCAAGCAAGCCATCATAGTAGGCAACCAGGGAAAATCATGGAAAGCTTAGAGTCAAGATACTCTGATTACCTATATAGTGGCAACAGGACGCGCTAGGCTACTGGTCGTGTCTCCATTTCGATTCTGCGTCATGGTTCTTTAGATTCCCTATGAAGGGTCATGGAATGACGCTACCCGGGTCGACTCAACTAGGGAGTTGCTATTCTGAAGCCAATTACGTACTCTGCCAGTACGTCATCCAAATCAAATATTCGCTCCATAAACATGTCCTCTGCCTGTCAACCACTCCTTGCTTTCTCAAGTTGCACGGCCTCAAGATAACTTTTGGTGCTACAACTCACTTCCTGAGTGGATGGGCCAACCAAAAGTCCCGCACTTTTTGTTTACCACCGGACCAAACCGGTCCAAAACCAAAAAGTCCCGAAAGTCCAAAACGGAACATAACTTCTGGTGAGACAAACCTGGCACGGCCATGAAAAGCCCACCCGTGGAGGCTTTGGCATTTGTTCTGGGTGTGATTGATATATTGGGGGACCCCCAACAAATGGATTTTGGCAATTTCCTTTTGGCTTCCGTTTCAACCAAGACGACAAGGGTACCCAGCCTTCCAACAACAAGCCTTGGGTGTTCCTTGGTTTCACCCCAGACCGGCTTGCTCAAACGCATCTCGCAGCCAACCCTGGTCGACCAAGGAAAAACGGGCACCACTGGAAGTCTGGGTCAAACAACTCTTGCTCAACACACCAAAAACAAAGGCACACACACACACACACGCTAATCATTACTCAAACACCTTCCTTTTTGTGTTCGAAGGGGGCCGAATCGGGGCTGGACACGATTTACATGTTGCAACATTTTGCCACCGCGCCTGCTGTAACTTCCCGGCTCTCCAGCGACGCCAACCGCTCTCTGCGGTTTCTCCTACGCGTCTGAAAATTGTTTGAAGGATCTGGGTGCGGCTCTTTTTAGGGACCCACCCCCAACATGATGGATCTTAAAGGGAAACCAAACCCAGAGGGTCCCTTTTGGTACCTCATGAGGATGGCTTAAAAGGGGGGGTCACTAAGTGCTCCGTCTAAGTAGCTCCCTTCGAAGGTAAGGGACCCTCACAGCCACCAGGACAGCCACCATGGTTTTTGGGGTCAACAATACTGCTATCGCACACAAACAATGGTGTCAACCATTGTCTCAAAGTGGTGCGAAATGAATTTTGTCCATCCACAGTATCTATCTATCTGTTCATAGGCAATAGGTACCCACGGGGAACCATGCAAGACCTAGAGCTAAGAAAGCAGGGTCGCCTACTATAGTGGCTTGCCTGCACAGCACGGATGATCCAGGCCGAGAGTTGCAGTTGAAGCGCGGAATTGGATTGAAGACGCTGGTGCAGACGTATGCGTCGATGTTAGCGCTTGGGAAATAAGAATTAGCTTCCCCTGCTTGCTAAAGCACTGGGTTTATTCAAGACATCCTCAAAATAACCCACCAAATGGTGGGATAAAAGGGAAATCAACCCCAACCTGTTTTTTGAGAGTCCCTCAAAATGATCATGGCACCCAGAAGTAGTGCCCCAGCCTCGAGCCGTGCAACCTCTAAGGCTCGCTCTCCTTCCTTGTGGTGATACATGAAGCCTCTTGTGGAATGCCCTCTCTCCTGCTGAAGGTTTCACTGGGCTTTGAATGACTTTTAAATGGACGCAACACTCAACCAACCAAAACAGCCGAAAACCAACCGGGACCAGACGGCTGGAGGGAACCCGAAAGGCCCCGTCAGCTCGCTCCTAGCGCTGCCCGCACCACTTCCGGGCCCTGCGATCGAGCGCTTTCTGCGGCTTTTCGGGCCATGGTCAAAGCTGCGATGTGGGTTGTGATCATCTTGCAGTCGCAACCTTTTCATGGTTCAAACAAAAAGGGGGATGATCATTGACAAAAGGATCTTTTCTCCCTTAGAAGAACTCTATTGATCATTTCCCAAACCAAAAGGAAAATCATTCATTTTAGGGGACTTCCATTAACAAATCCCTGTTAGAGAGGTTGATGATCATTCTCAAAACCCAAGTCACATGCAGGCACTGTACCTTTCCGAGAATCCTGTTGCCACGTGCATCTGGGGAAAACCATGTCGCTTTATGCAGAAAAATGCATTGTAATGGGTGCATAAAGGGCACATAACTATCATGGAATGGCATGGAATCATGGAATGGCCCATGAGTACAGTCACGTTTGTCACCCCTAGTAACCCTAGCATTTCTTCCTTCAACATCACCTCCCTGCTTGCCTGTTCTCCAGTGTGAGACCTCGCGCGGAATGTCAGAATAAGCTCAAAGACAACTCAGACGCCCAGTGGCCATGGGAAAAAAAGGGCATCCTTCTTTTGGGTTGGTTGACTTTGAAGGGGAACCCTTCCCCAAAAAAGGGGCACCACTGGGCAACTGGGACAATGTGAAACAAGTGCCATCAATTGCTCGCTGATGTGCAAATGTCAACAATGATTTGGCCCTTCGCAGGACCAGCACCCCTGCTACAACATCACTAACGCATCCAGGTTGCTTCTGGCACATTTTTTTGCCAAATTGCCTGACAGGGCCTTAGCCGCCCACGGCAAGCTGTCAATATGTGTTCTTGTTGGATCCGATTTGAGTCAGAGTCATAGCCCCAAGTCCTGTGAGAGAGTGCAAACTGTTAAAACATGGCAAACAACAATCAACAACTACAGCATGATCAATGTATCGAGCCACCATGTTGGCTCGTTCAAGCCGCCATAAGTATAGCCCCTACAATAGGTGTCTATAAATTTAGAAGGAATGCCATTCACAGCTTGTCCTCACACCAAGTCAACATGCGCCATCGATAAGCCAGGAGGCATACAAACATGTGCACGCTTAGCTCTTTCCCCAACGCGAGGTCTCCACGTAAAACAACTTGATCACGTGTGCAGATTATTCCCCCGCGCCCGGCGGCGTCACTTGTGCAGGTGCGAGGTTAGCTGCCAAGGTCACCGACAACTGATCAAACACCAACCGGCAACAAGGCAAAAGACTTAAGCTAAAGCTTTAGCATCCTGTAACGTGACCCTTTCTACAAGACTGAAGCCGTGCCATGACTACCCTGCGACTTTGGCCACAACTCGCATTCGGTTCTCCCCTGAAACGTAACCCAAAAGGAAACTCATCTCTTTCCGGCGATGTCGGTCCCCCCAAAGGAAGGGCCCAAGAAGGAAGCCGCATTCGACAAGAGCTTTTTCTTGAACACCAGAGTCTTCCACAACCAGAGTCCCGGAAACGGGCTTCTTGAGGGCATGGAACTAATTGGGCGAGTTGATTCTACAGGGAACCCCCCCGGGAAAAATGCTGGGAACCCCCAAGAAGCTCCCGCTCGCTGTAAGACCAGGCGATTGCACACAGTTCCGGGTCCGGCCTTCGCCCGGCAGCAAATCATCGAAGCCCTGGCGCTTCGGCTTCTTGCGGGGCCGTCTGCTCACGGCCGGCCCAGCCCTAGAAATGCTTTTGGATCAAGTCAAAAATAGACGGGGTAAAAGCATGGTTTTGGATCAGAAGGGGTAAAACCAAATAGACGGGGTAAAAAATAGACCTCTTTTGCTTTTGGATCAGAAGGGGTAAACCAAAAGGTGAAAAGGCCCAAGAGGTGCGAGCCAGGAAACGGCCTCCTGCAACCATACATGGCGTGGGACATTGTGGGGACCTCTTTTTGGGTTTGGGACGCCGCAAAGGAGACTCAACCCAAAGCTTGACGCGGAAACCCAAACAGAAACCGACGAAGGGATCCCCAAACCGACTTTTGAGGGAACCCTCGGCAAACTCTGCTCGCCACGCCAGAAACCGCTGTCGTGGTCTTGTTGGGAGCCCACTGGCGACCCATTTGGGATCAATCGCTGTGGTCTACAGCAGGGGGAGGGGGCATGTTGGCAACATGATTTATGGGGGCCTCATTTAACAAAGATGCAAATGAAATTACTGAATACCTGACAATCAAACTACAAGCAACCCGACGAACGGCCCTCAAAGAGCGGATATCTCCCAATCTGCAAACCCCATAGGGGACCAGCAAAACCGGATACCCCTGCAACATGGTTTGACCGCTACTCTGGGCCTGAACTTCTCTAAAAAACACAACGTCTACAGACCTTTGGTTCAAGAATAAGACAAGGAAAACAAGCTCGACCATAGCTTGAGTTGGGCTTTCTACTTCTTGGGACACCTTTTGGTGGCCAAACAAAAACTGCGCCGGGTTTGGCGGACTAGCCCCTCAGCAAGCGGAGGCCTCAGCAAACTCCCATTGCAGGGGCCCATGGCCACCTTGTAGGCGATACATGATTCAATCGTTGAAAAGGACTACCCCCATCTCACCGGGAGGAAGTGGATGACCCAAAGTCCAAACTTTTTGCTTAGCACTAAAATGGTCCAGACCCAAAAAGTGACTAAAGTTCATGAACCCAGGAAGTGAGCCATCCAAAGGGAGGCTACCGGACCATCACCTGTTAGCTTTTTGTTCAAATGAAAGCCTTGTCAAGGGCTTAGCCCCTAGAGTTCCCCCCCCAGGATCCATGATACCCTATCTTCACAGTGTGCAACTTCCGGAAGGGTAGGGCTTAGGGAGGACGGATGTTGCAACGAACCGAACTCATAGAGATTCCTCAAGGAACTTCTTTTTTTTTTGGGCGGGGGGCATATCTGGCTTAGACTTGCCAAACACTGGTTTAAACATGCTTGAACCATTACATGTTTTCATCAACTCCGTCCCTTCAACCAAGCTCCTCTGGGTTTATTGGACGGGGCTCGAGTCGTCACTCGCCCAGAGACCCCGCCTTAGGCTTGCTTTTCGACATCGTGGCTAAGAGTTGAAGGGCCTTGTGCCCTGGTTCATGTGCTCGCGGCTCTGGCAACAAAACTCGGGTAGGACTTGAAGCGTAGGAGTCTTTTTGCAAAAATCGATGGCCCTGGTAAAAGGAAGAAAGCCAGTCCAGATCAGTGCCATCTGTTTCGAGCCAAACTAACCTGAAGAAAGGACACCCACAGCTCGAAGCCTAAGCAGAGTTATTCACAGAACTCATCTTGCTCTTGCCGCCGCAGCTGAGACTTGCAAAGACAGGTCCTCCAAAAGTCCATGATCCAAAGAACAGCTGCGAGGAGAGCGTGCAAAGATACCGTTCCATCCGCCGGGGTTTTGTTCGACTTGGACTCTGCAGGAAGCAGTGTCCAAAATGAAGTCAGCAGGTTTCTTTGGAACCCTATGCGGGAGTGTGTACCCTGAACCTTGCCCGCACCGAAAGAAAATAATGGACCGTCCCCCTTCTTAAAAAAACAACTCACCCCAAAAGCATCATTCATTAAAATCCAAGTCATGCACCCAGTGCTTCCAGTCACCATGCTGCGCAGGCAACCAGCTAGCAGTTTCACCATGGATGGCTTCCCTGGTTTCCCCCAGTGAACATCTTCCATTTGCTTTTTCGCCCCCGGCCCCTGGAAAAAACAAGAGAATATGTCCAGTAGTGAACTTGATTCCCTTTAAAACCAACAAGGGAAAATCAAACATGTTCATTTCAGCAACTGAAAGAAATGGCTTGCCAAGCACCGGGTGAGAATGACACACTGGGCACTTCTCATCGAAGACCACTGCGGAGTTGCCTCGGGACCTGCGCGAGGCGCGGAGTGCACGTACTGCCGTGTACCACGCCTTCTCTTGAGGTCCAAAGACATGGCTAGTTGGCTCGTCTTCTTTTGAGTTTGTACCCCTCTCTGTGGGTTGGTTTTTAAAGGAAAGCCAAAAGGAAACTCACCTAGGTCCTCCAGAAGTGAGAGCTTAGAATAAGGGTACCCACTTTTCCCTGCAGTCTACTTTAGGGGAACCCTCCCAACCAAAAAGAAACGGCAAAAAGAAACGGCACCTAGCCGAGGGACCTTGCCCCGACATGAAAGCTGGGAGGGCCGGCGCCCTCCAAACGGCCCGCAAATTCCGCCGGAAGATGCGGACAGCCTCCCCACGGCCAGCCCTCCAATTCCACGGGTGGAGAAGCCGGAAATGAGGGATCCGCAGGGGAAGCACTCATGTGGAGTCTCGGCGGAGGCTATCGCTTCTTGGGCTCACAACCCTCTTTCACGAGAGTTGTAAGGGATCCCCAAGTAAAGGATCTTCGTCTAGCGCGTTCGCTGATATGCTTGTAACATCTAGTCGTATCCCATGTGACCCATCAGTCATGAAATGCTTGCCACGCGAAAGGTCAAACATTGTTTTTCACATTGACTTGGAGCCAGGTAGAGGGGACCACGCGAGCGTTGGTCTAAACCTGGGTTCCACGATGTTGTATATTTCAAGAATCCTTTCGTGCATTTCGCGAATCTTGCGCACTTCAAAGCGTTCCTTTCGCGGAGCACATGGGTTCAAGAAACCCTTTCGCGCAGCTTTCGTGGACGGTTCAGCAAAGGGTTGTTTGGGCTTAACCGGCCATCCCCAGCTTTACTTTCTGGGGCTGCTTTGGGGTGAGTGTTGGGCTTGCTGAGGTCTTCATGAGGGCGGGTGTTGGGTTGGTTAGGGTTCATTTCGGCTTAGCAAAGGGCTGATATGCAGGATGCGGTTGGGAGGGTTTAAGGTTGACTTTGATCGGTGTTGGCTGGTTTAGGGCTGATTTGTGCTAGGTGTGCGACTGGTTTAGCCGTGGCTTTCGGGTTGCTTTACGGATGCGGTTGCGCGAGTTTTGGGCTAGGCTTGGTGGTCTGGGGCAACTCCTCACAACCAGTCCCAAGCCAGCTCAAAACTTGCATAACCAGCTCTGAACTGCAACCAAATCAAAGCCAATCAGCAGCCCTAGTCCGGGTTAAGCCCGAGCAACTCTCAGCTATTTGGACCCTTAGGGGAGGAAGAAAGATATCAGAGCTATAGGACACACATATTGCAAGAATCACATGGGGATCGACTTAAAACCAGCTGCGACCCGCCGCACTTTCCAACCCAGTCGCGACTACAATCAACATTGCTGTTCGAATGCCCTTTGGCGGCTGTTTATCCACAACTAAGCCATAATGAATGCTTGAACCAATCAACCAAGGGATCATGCCTCTTGCTCATTTAGCCCCATACGAAAAATCAGAATGGACAACGAGTCTGCACCACTTAATCGACAAGCCATCCTACTAGGGGGGGATAGGCAACACAAACAGGCTCGCAGCCTGTGATCAAGACGCACTTGTAGATGAGGGCCTACAGTCTTAGGCCCGTGCTAAGCCGCCCAAGCCCACGTCGGATTAAATTGCACAGATTTGTTTTGACCTCCTGTGTCGGTTTTTTTAGGCCAAAACAAAGATCTTCAAAAGGGTCACTCGGATCTAACCAGGTCAAACCGAACAAATTCTAACGATCTTTAGGAGTGACTATATGCAAAGCGCAGCAAACAAGTGACGGGAACCTATGCCTTTTGCACCAGGTTGGACTGGACTCTCGCACCCCTAGAAAAATCTGAGAGTTCGCGGATTAGATCTAAACCAAGGAATTCTCAAAGGGGCAAAATCAGTCCCAACCCACCATGAAGCTCCGATTTGCCGATGATATGAGAATTTCTTCTTTTCAGGGAGCCCTTTGTCGTTTTAAGGTCAAATATAGTCAAACGAAAAAGGGAATCCAATGGGAGCCCATTTGGCGTCTGTCTTTTGAGGGTAATTACTTTGTGGTTTTGAAGGAGAACCCAAATTGGAACACCTACCCAGTTCGTGGGTCCAAGCTGTAAAAACACACCTAGAGTCTCCATGACCCTTTAAAAATGGGTCAACGACCCCGTTATTTTAGGTGATGACCAACCATTTTTTGACGGTCATGGAGACTCCAGGCACACACATTTTGGGGGGAGAGCTTTTTGCCCACCCCCCGGGTCTCGGGGGAACGGAAGCCTCAGCGAGGACTTGGGCCCGCAGTCGAAGAGGAAGTCCTGAGGTGCCGGGAACCAAGCGAAACACACAAGTCACCAAGGAACCCAAGGAAACTCATAGGAATTTTAAGGAGATTCAAGGAACCCCAAGAAATGTTCAAGGAACCTCAAGGAACCTAAATAGTCTTGAGAAGCCTCCAGTGGGTTTCAAATGGAGGCGATTTCTTGGAGGATTTCAAAGTGGTTCCGAATGAGGGCGTTTCTAGGCAGCTGAGCAACCAGGGTCCCAGGGTGCGACTGAACTGAGGTGGGACGTCCCCTGCCCGGAGAGCTGAGCGGCGAATCCACGCGCATCCCTTGTCCATACGAGCCATCCAAACGGATCCAAACGTGCAGCTGGTACCAAAAAGAACGCGGCAAAATCAGGTTTGGGAACATTCGGTAGTTCCCCTGGCTTTCTGGAAATTTCGGGAGCCCCCTCTTTTTTCCGAGCCCCAAATGCGCTGTGGAGCGCCAAAAGAGAACATGAAGGAACACTCATTGACACTTGGGGTCTGCTGTTTTTGCATCTTCAAAGTCTTGGTCGCTTGCTTTGATGTTTGGATCAAACGGAAAAGGCAAGGAACGTAGGTGCTTCTTGGGGAGTTTTGAAGGAAACCGAAGGAAACACTCATTTGAGTCCTACTCAAAACCCGGTATTAAAATGGTTTACCCAGAAACTAGGCGGCCGCACCCAGTAATCGAAGCTTCATCTACCTGGGTTTTGTGACTCATTTGGGGTGCCCCGTATAATCAAGATACGCACACGGCAGTGGACCTGGTCATTCGACATATCAGGCGCCTCCCAGGAGAGCATTGATGGCGCCCCCTTGTTCACCTGTGACGGACCGGAATTTCCGGACAAGTGTTCCGGAAGTAGGGCGGTTCTCAACGTCGGCTTTGTCCCCCCAAAATGGATGGCTTCCTTTTGGCTTCCAAATGCAGAAGACCAACCAAAAGAGGTACACACAATTTTGAGACACACTCGATAAAGGAGGACACTCCAAGTAGTTGATGTCTATCATAGATTTTCGCGCGTTCTACTGGGGCTCGCGACGTAATTTGTCCAAATGGAATGCCGAGCGACCGTCGGACACAACCATCGGGAGGGGGGGGGAGACGCTTTTTGGGTTCTTTTGTGCAAATGGGCCCGATTCAAGATAGGCAAGCGCCTTTTTAAAGGCAATGGGGAAAAACAACTAGTGAGTCGATCTCTGGTGTTTATGATGTTCTGTTGGTGTGCTTGGTGGTTGATGGTGATTTCGGGTGGTCGAGGAGATCGTAGAAAACACATGGTCCTCCTCAAAGAGATCTTCTTGCCGACTTCCATGTTGAAAGAAGGTAAACTTGCAACATGCTTAACAGCCATGGCTTCCTCTAAAGACACTTTATACATTGGAGTAGACTAACTATGGAACAGAGTCAGACAAGATGACATTGTGTCTACCCCCACCGATTCCTCTTCCCAAACTCGATCAAAAGAACCCAGCCTCCGGGGCCGCGCCGTTCACGTGCACAAAGGAGCCTAAGCGTGACCACACGCGCCTGTTTGGCTCTTTTTTGCTTGTTCGTTCGATTGTTTGCTTTTTGTTTCTTCGTTTGTTTGCCTCTTCGTTTGTTTGTTTGTTTGTTTGTTTGTTGGCTTGTTTGTTTGCTTGCTTTTGAGTGCTATTTGTTTCCAGGCTGTTTGCAAATGGTTGTTGCGTGAAATCGCAGTAAACATCATGCAAGTGAGACTAGCAATATGATCCCAGGAAGCAACGGGTTCCATGCGTTGCACGTCTTAGCGTCAATTTGGCGCTCCCACACCTTTTCTTGCAACGTGCGGCACACCACGCCAGTAGTTTTTCGAGCATACCTTCCCCTGTTTTCGCTGGACAGGGGACATCTCGTGAACTAACTTGCCCAGTTGCATGGGTGCGTGCGTGTGTAAAACTGGGAGGCGGCCTTAAAATTGGAGGGAATTCCTGTTGAATTGCCTTTGAACCAACCTGAGAAGGATACGGGCCTCAAAAATCCTTACAATTGCATTTTTTTTTGAATTGCCTTTTGAACCAACCTAAGAAAGATACTGAGCCTCAAACGTCAAACGCACGCCCGGGTGTTTTTGGCTTTAAGGCCGCCAGAAGCATAAGGCCTAATCGAATCGGGCTCCCGGCGCAGGGCGTAGACTGCCACGATGGTGGTGAGCAGGCCCAGAAAGATGATGACCTGAGTGTTTCACCCAAGTTTAAACGAATGAAGGAAACAAAAAGCAGCCCAAAATCCAAACAAAAAAAACAAGGGTTGAAAGAGGTTGAAATGAACTCCAAAAGAAACCAAACATGTTGGGTGGTACAAGGCACATCTCTCTCTCTCTCTGTCTCTCTCTCTTTGTTCGAGGATGCCAGCTAGGGCTGCCCTCAGAAAGACAAACAATTGGGAGTCACCAATTGGGTTTTTCACTCAGGAGGGTTTCCTTGGCTCCTGCCAAGCAATGTCCAACATGTTTGTGTATATTGTCATACATATATGGCGAGAGAGACAAAGAGAGAGTGAGAGAGACAGAGAGTTTTGGCGGTCCCCCGATGTTGACACTGGAACCAACACGGTGGATTTATAGGGGAGTGTCTTCCCGAACGGGTACGGACACCTCTAAACCGGACAGCCGGATCAAAATGAACCAGGAGATTCAGCAATCCTGGGTCCATCGGCGAATCGATGACATGTCTGGGTGAGTATTGGAGCTCTGCTGCTTTTTTGGGTTCCGTGTTATCTGGGGGGCAAAAGTCGAGCAAACCAGGCAAGCTGAATTGTCTAAAGGTTGGCTTCGGGCGAATGAGGGAATGGGATGGGAATGCCAATGCTGGTTGAGGATGTGGGCCTGTCTTAAAAGAGACGTCCGCCGAATGTGGTTAATGTCCTTTTGGTTTTCCTTTAACGACTATTAACGGAAAGGGTCCCACAATTCTGACTACCACGAGTTGACTGGATTCACTTGAAGTCGCTGGCACCATGTGTCTGCCACCACACTGGATGTCGCGGCCGGTATTTTGGGGTCACAGATGCTGCCCTAAGAGCAAGCTTGACTTCCCCAAAAGTCTAAGAAGCCAGCCACCAGGACCTTTGGAAGAGTCTGGACAAACAGACTCACTTGGGCGCCCACTTGGGGTACCAAGATTGGGTCTTAGGCTCCGGACACCTAAAGGCCCAACCTGTCCCACTGCACCATTGCACCAACGCCACCAGCGGCGCGTCGCATCTGGGATCCGGACATACTTCCGTGCCAGGACCACTGCGCAATTACCCACCTTGATGCTGCACACCTGGCGGGTCCAAAAGGGTGCGGGCATTGTTGAGGGTTCCCCTTTTCACCCTAATTGAAAGGAAAAACAAAGTAAGACCAATAGGAGGTGACTCATGCCCAAAACGAGTCACATCCGGTTTGGGAGAGTCTTAAAATGCTCTTTGTGGTGAATTGCCTTGTAAATGAACCCTTGGCTAAGTAACGCAGTGTCAACTTTGGTGCTAATGTTGAATTGGGCCCCGTCACGGGAACTATGTCAACCAGAGGGATCCCCCTGAAACGAATGAACGTGAACATTCGCCAGGACCAGCTGCGACCTAAATGGTTCGTTATTTCGCAAGGCCCCCTCAGAACTTGAAAGACACACAGAATAAGGCACCCTATTTATTCCAACAATAATGGACCATCGTCGGAAAAAGGCCTTTCCAATTCCAGAACTATTGGACAAAGGGTAGTGTAAGTGGCTAAATTGGAGGGCCTGAATCGAGCCGACTCTCAGTGATTGGAAGTTCCTCGGGCTGCAGCTGCACCTCTAACCCTCTGGCCGGCTGGCTACAGCGAAAACGCGGCTGACCGGCCCTTCACGTTTTTGGCGCTTCGCCCTTACGCCCACGCGCTGGCCACTACCCCCGTTCTCAAACTCACAGCGAGGCCCAGCGGCACTGCGGCCTCTGAAAAGTCACCTGGCCTGAGTCCCTTGCCCTTGGCTATCCTTCAGTGAGGGCACACTTTCACGCCGCTGACAATTTGCCTCAATTTGAAGGGGCGGTGGGAAATCACTGCTCCAGCCTGAGCCTTGGACGGCCGGCCCGGGTCAGGAGCGGTCAGGAGCGGTCAGGTCCCCTTCCCAAATCCCCTCTCAAACAAATCGGCCAAGTCCTCCTTTCCAACAAAGCCAAGGAGGAGCAAATGCGGATGGCGCAGGCCTTCTAGGAGCAAAACTTGTTTCGGTGTTCCAGGAGGCGAACCGCTGGATGAGCGAGGGGACGATCCAAAAAAACACACAAAAACTGCAAAAATCGGTCAAACCCCTTCCAGAAACTGATCAACTTTCCATGTAGAAACCAGTCAAATCCACTCTGACCCACCCTCCACCTTGGAAACCAGCTCACGCATTTCGGCGGCGGCTCACTCACTCCAACAAACACTTCAAGGCAAACTAATAGATATACCTCAAAGCCAGCCAAAGGCGGACTGGTCGAGGTGGGCAAAGCCAGGCGTTTACAACTACTTTTTCTTCACGCATGGTGGGCACGAACCTCGTTTTTTGCTAGCTGCCGAGCTTCCCCACGCCTGGCCCTGCAGTAAGAACGGAGATCAAGGGAAGCCTCAATTGGGCCCAGCGCAAAGCGTTTACAACTACAAACATTGTATCCTGATCTTGGCTTAATCTAACTTTAATCCACATACCATTCTAATACTCACTCGCCCAAAGGGCCCAGAAACTCAGGTCAAGCTTTTGGAACCTTGGCATAATCAAGACCAAAAGGGAGAAGCATCAAGTCAACAGGTCAAGTGAACATATTCTTCAAGGCCTTCTAACTCAAACAAGATGAATTGGGAAAATTGAAAAGGCAAAAGTTAACAGCTCAAGCGAGAAACTTCTTTGAGGCCTTATAGTAGCCTTAATTCACTGCCATCCCCGAAGCGACCAAACTGGATACATCGCCTCAGTACGGAAGGTGGGCAGCGAGATCCGGGACTTCCTGGCGATGACGTTGAGGCACCTGGGGCCTCGCTGCGGCGACGAAGCCGCGAGTGGCTGCGCGTCCGACCGCCCGCCCCCTCCATGCGTTGCTTTCATGTACAAAGGGCAGGTCTAAATTCACCCACCAGGGACCGCAGATTTCAGTCCTTGTTACCAGGGCAACCCATTTTATGTACATATTCTTGACCCACATGTGGGTAGGGGTTTACTTGGGCAACACCCATCTCATCCAAAAAGAATGGGGATCCTTGTGGTCCTACAAGGGACGCATGGGAGGGGCCCTTGTACTTGGGGAACACCTACCCCATCCATACAGCAAAAATATGGGGATCGAGTCAGTCAAAAGGGCGGCAGGAAACGAGAAGCTGGACAAATCACTGCTACTGTAACTCCCAACCTCAAAGTAAGGGAATGAAATTATCCTCCAGGTAAAGTACCGTCATCGTGGGTGACCTCATGGTAGGTCCAGGTGAGAGCAGCTGCAAGCGGAACCAGTGATTTTTCTGTGCTTCTTCTTGGAGAACCCCAAAATGGGCGGGCTCTGTTGGTTCTCTTTAAAAACACGAAATCAGGGTGCCCTCAAAAAGCCAGTCTCCATGTCAAATTCATGCCCAACTCAGATCCACAAATTTAGTCCAAACATATTTAAGACTTAAGATGCTTGGACTGGGCCAAATGAATCTCATATTTCTTTCTCTATGCGCATTCTTCTTGGTCAAAATAGTGCTTAAAAGCAACTGGGGATACTCCATGTCACTTTAACACAAGCGCAACTTAGAATGCTAATTGGGTAGTTCCTCAAAACATCAATCCCTGCTCATTGAGGTCCCTCGACTGCTCGTGAAGGAACCTAGGTGCACGCCATTCACCGTTTTGACTTGCCAAGGTCCAGAAACCGGGGAGCAAAGCCCAATCAAAGTTTCAAAAGGCCCGCAGAGTTAGCGAGACCTGCTCCAACTGGCAACACCCGGCTGTGGTACTGTGGATGCTTGAGAAATCCGTTTCGCACCACAGAAGAAACCCAACTGAATGGTTCGATTCCCCTGTAAATACCAAACAGTGGTTTCAACCATGGTTTCAAAGTGGTGCGAAATGGATTTCGTCCATCCACAGTAGTCCCCCCCATTTGGGCCACGGTGGTTCTCCAACATCCCTGTTGAGGGCTTCACGACCGAGGCGCAAGTTTGCTCGGTCTTTTGACCATGGCACACGTGAGATTCTGACGATTGGCTTGAGTCCTTGGCGGTGGGAGGGTAATGGGTGTGTCTTAAATTAAGGAGCCAACCAAATTATGGTCTTCCCTTTGGATTGTCTTTAAGCCCACTAACCAAAAAAAACGGGTCATCTCCAAAAACAAAAAGCCACACCTGAATTCTCAGGACGGATTGAAGCGAACACCATGGTAACCCAAGCCTCTTCTTTCGAGCCTCGGATGGTTCCCCGAAAAGCCTTGCTGAGGCCTCACGGGGATCCTTTATATTTACCACTAAAATGGTATTCCCAAAAAGTTGAAAGTTCATGAACTCAGGAAGTGAGGACAACAAGTCCCCGCACCTTCCATCCATCCATCCTCTGAGCCTCCCAGCAGTGGTGCACCACATCCTGCACTCGCTAAGCACGAGGACCACTTTTTGACATATCTTTTTTTCTGAGGGGGCGCCAAAAAACCGTGGTGCTCCTTACGAGTTCCCGATGCTTGGAAAAGGGTGCCCAGAAGAAGATCACACACACCCAAAACCGCCCCACCAAAATGATCGGATATAAACGGCCATGGAAATGAAGTCCAAAAAGGGATCCTAGTTCTGGTCATGCCTGGGCTTGTCTGATGAGGAAGCCTCCAGTAATTCATCGGTGGGCGTCCTGCAAAGCAATCTACCCAAGAGGGTCTCTGGCAACAAACCCTGCAGGTGGGAACGCTTGCAAGTCAAGCAGGTGACAGCGCTGCCAAGTGTATGGTGCTGTCAAGCTCCAGGCCGAAATCTGCGTGCTTTTCCTCTGTTAGGTGTTAAAGGGAGTCTGTCACTATTGAAGGTATGTCCCCTGTTTTCTCCAGGGGG